AAGTGCCTACTCTGTGTGAGATACCATGTTAGGCTTTGGGATTCTGAGATGAGATTCAGATCTTTCTATTAAAGAGTCTTCCAAGCCGGCAGAGGGAGACAGATGTAAAACAGCCTTGTGCAACCAACCTTTGCAGGTGCTGTGATCGGAGCAAGTACAGAGCAGGGGGGAGAAGGGGCCGGGGTTACAGATGCAAGAGGGATGGTGACTGGGGCTTCAGGGAGAAAGTGGTACCCTGGCTGGGGCTCCAATGGGGGCAGATTCATCAGGTGAATGTCAGGGGCGCGGAGTGGAGAAAGTGATGATGGGGTGGGTGATGGGGGAACATTCCAGGAAACAGAGCAGGAGTAAAAGTGTTGCGATATGAAATAGCATGGTGTTCAAAAATTGCAAGTCATTCATAACTGCTGGCGCTAAAAGGGTAGGGCCAGCGTTGTGACAAGGGATGAGTCTGGAAGGGTTTTGTAGGCTAGGACTTCTGTGCCCCAGGGATATCGCTGAGGAGATTTAAACAACTGGGTCAGATGTTCGTGTTAATTTCTGAGGTCATTTAGGCACTGGAAGGTGGACTGAAGGGGGGGAGGGAAAGTGCTTATGAGACCATTGCAATAGGTACCTGAACCAGGGATGCGGCGGGCGAGGAGTCTTGAAGGGGATAGTTTCTTTCTCACACAACTATGCTACTCATGGTAACTGACAATTCGCAAGTTTGTAAAAATAGTCTCACTCCCACTGCAGGTAGAGGGCCCTGCGCTTTGCAGTCAGCTTGTGTTGATTAGCCTACATTTGCAGTCAAGACACTTCCTCACGGCATTGCACACAGAGGCAGCCTGCAGCTCGTCCTGCGACCCAGCAGGAAAGATGATGCTTATGAAGACCCCAGCCCCATGCTGAGACTCTCAGGAAGATTGGCTCTCGTGGTGGTCCTGGCTCAGTCTAGGCTCTCGTGACAGTGGCTTGGACACTGACACACAGGCAGGCCCTGCGGGGACTCTTCAGTGAACCAGCCAGAGGGACTGCTTCAGAGAGCTGGCATATTGTGGAGGGCCTCATGTTTGTTGCCACAGAATCTAGTTGTGGGAAGATAAGAATTCATAAAAAGTTAGCCCTGGCTGGTGTTGCTAAGTGGTTAGAGCATCGGCTCATGCACTGAAGAGTCATGGGTTCAATTCCCAGTCAAGGGCACATGCCTGGATTTCATGTTTGATCCCGGCCCTGGTTGGGGTGCATTTGGGAGGCAACCAATTGATGTGTCTCTCTCACATCATGTCTCTCTCTTTCGGTCTCTCTCTCTGGTCTCTCTCTCTCTCTCTCTCTCTCTCTCCCACTTTCTCTCTCCCTTCCACTGTCTCTAAAAATCAATGGAAAAAATATCCTTGGGTGAGGATTAAAAACAACAAAAAAAATACAAAACTGGGATGGATACATCCATGGATAAAGGAAAACCAAGTTCAGAGGTGGGAGAGATTAATTCCAAAGTGGGGTTGCGTTAGATTGTGGCTCCCAAATTTGAACTCACTTGGGAGATTTTTTTAAAATAAAGCTTTCTGGGCGCTACCACTAGGGAGTCTGGGGGCAGGTCTGAGATTTTGTATTGTAAAAGCTCTTCAGGCATATTTGAAAACCATTGGACCATGTGATCATGCCTAGCACAGTGCCTGGCACATAGATGTGCTCAGTAAATGGGTAAGAACGGTGCATCTTCAAGGTCCATCCCCACTCCGTGATTCCATGCATCCTTCTAGCTGGGGAAGCAGGAAGGAGCTGTTCCTTCAAGAATTCTTGAGTCACAGGAACCAGTAACTGGAATCCATTGGCCACTTGGCAGCTATTGTGCATGAATGCCAGGGATGTAGTGGGGTGGGGGTGGGGTGGAGTAGCTGGATTTCAGCTTTCTCACCTTCTTCTGAATCAGCTTTTAAACTGAACTCAGCTTCTATTTGAGAAAAGTGAGCTGGCTTTAGCAACGCAGTGAGATGGAATTTGCCTTTTTTTTCTTCTGAGAAAACAAAAGAAATGTGAGAACCCAAGAGTCTCCAGCTCAGAAGACAGAGGCACAAGAGAGGTGGAGGAGGGCCCCAGGGTCAGGGCGTGAGGCTTGAGTCCTCTGATCAGCCAGCCTGGAGCACGGCAGTGCAGTGCCCAGACCCTCTGCGCCTGTCACTCTGCCCTGACAAGCATAGCTGGAGACCCCGGGGGGAATCCCAACATTTGAATGTGGGCCTACATATGGGAGAATATTAGCAACCCAAGCCCGCTTGTGAACTCAGGGGTCTCCCTCTCTTCTTTTGATCCCCCAAGTGGGGTGTCCATGCTCTTGACATGTGCAGGTCCCTTGACAGCCTCTTCTCAAGCCTAGTTTTCCCTGCTCCAGGCTCTCAGGGACAGAGTGATCCCTGCTGTTACTGTCTTACCCCCTGGCACTGCCTCTCTACCCCAGCTTGTCGTACAAATGTGATTTTGTATGTGTGGCATAATGTGACAGAGGTTGGGAAGACTGTTCCATACAATGGTTCTCAACCTTGGCTCCACAGGAGGATGAAGGTTGCACCCAAGACGCACTCCCAGGGTCACTTGAAGGACTCTTACAGACAGACATGACCTTGGAGGCTGCATCTTGCTCAGCCCTCCATGTGCACGTTTCTCACAGGTGCTCAGTGGGTGGACTCTGGCTCTCCCAGAGATGGAGAGCTCACCACCTCGCAAGGACTTGTGTTCCATTCTTGGACAACTCTAAATTTAAAAAAATCCTTTTGTTTTTATTGAGCCAGAAGCTACCTCTTTATAAATTCCACACTTTGCCCTGATTCTGTTCTTCAGACCACGTAGAATAAGTTTGTAATGCGTCATAAGCAGATAGCACAGAATTCCCACATACCACTCCACACTCGGTAATCATTTTAGGCTCCGCACCATCTTGCACATCCTCCATCAGATCTGAGTGCATGGTTTTCCCGTTTTACAGAAATGAGCACAGATCTCTCTTCATTCCACAAATGAGGAAAACATACTCTAGCAAACACTTACCCTTAGCCTATACATGGCACTGGTGTAAGTGCTTTACATGTATGAAGTCCTTAATCCTCACAAAAGCCCGATGGGGTTGGTACTGTTATTACCCCCATAGTACATGAGGAGAGGTTAATAACTTGCTGAAGGCCAAACAATGGGTGAATAGGGGAGCTGGGATTCAAAACCACAGTCTGCTTCAGAGTCTGTATTGATAAGCCTTAATTTATGCCACAGGGCTGCAAGAGGGGTCTTCCTGAAATACTGCCTTGGGGTGTACCTCCCAGCCTTGCCGACTGGCCAGTGGCTCACTATTCCCACTAGATAAAGGCCATGTGTCTCAGCTTAGCACTGAGTGCCTTCCACGTCCCAGTGCACACGTCCTCCAGGTTAGCCAGCATGACAGTGAAGACCCCTGGAGTGTGCCCAGATACTGTTGTTTCACCAAATAAACATGTTTTCTACCCTTCCTCCCAAGTACAGCTGCGAGCAGCCACACCTCTTCCAAAAAGCCTCGTGTGTTCTCCGGGCAGACTGCATTCACAGTAATCTCTTCCTTCTTGGCTGACACTCACTTCCAATGCTCTTTGTTTGGTATTTAGTCTGGGTTGTGTTTCATTAATGTACTTTTTCCATTGATCTATTCGGTCTCCCCAACTCATCCTCAGTGCCGGCTGGTCATTGTCGATGATTACATACGTTTTAATCCCCAGAGACTTATTTGATGAGAAGTTGAGACTTACTGAGATTGGCCATTGCCCTATTTGCTCAGATGGATCATCACTGTCCATCCAGTAGACAAGCAGATCCTGCATATACGACACATTAGCCAATCAAAGGAGTTTGATCTGAGGCCATGGCCCCTGCTCTATGTAGTCCTCTCTCCCTCAGGTCACGTCCCTATTCTGGAAGGTTGAGATGAACGATTCTAAATAGTCTATATCATTTCAGATCTGTGGAGGGCTTAGCTGTGCTAGGTGACATTAAGTTGAAGCACTGTATCCCGTTCCTATGGGGTGACCCCGTTTCAATGTGTCCACTGTACCAGGCGTGGGTCTGGCACCAGCTGTGTCTCAGCGTCGGATAAATGTCACCCAATTCCCTAAGAGAGAGCTGGAGGAAGGAGACCCTGCAGAACCTAGATTCAAACTATAGCCTGTTTTTGCTAAACTTTATTCATTTCAGTGTCACCTTCATGATTTGGGGCTTATCTACATTGCATTCACACTGGGTTTTAACTCAAAGTTTAGCCTCATTCTAAATAACAACAACCACAGGGTTAGTGAGCGAGGCATAGTTTCTCAAATGGATGATACAATAAATGCATCACTATTAGATCATGGTTATCTGTGTACTACACACAATCATGTCACATGCGGTCACTGTGTGCTTACCACCTGTTGGGACACACTGCTCTGCTGTTTCTGTCTCCCCTCAACACCTCTTTCCAGAAGTGAAATCTCTTCTGAGCAGGTCCGGGTGTCCAGGCTGGGTGCCTATATTCACGTAGGCTCCACCGAGGCACCTGCGAAGACACTCTGAGGGCAAAAACCTCCCTGGGCAAAACTATGAACACTTTCTTCCCTTTAGCAAGAACAGTTCAGCTTCTATCTCTTCCCATGCCCAGGGCTTCTCGTTAAGATTTTATCTGGGGAAAGGGTTATATGGATTTTTTAAAAACGTGTGGAAACCATGGGACCAGTTCATCCAGGATGAACACTGCTAGAAAGAGCATCGGTTGGGGTATTCACTCAGTCAGCCGTGCATTCAGTCAGCACTTCTTTGAGTTTCTCTTGGCCCATCCCACTGTGAGGGCAGGAGAGCTGCCTTCAAGTGCACCTTGTTTATCGTAATGAAGCAAAATAAACATCGGGGTGGCTCGAGGTGCAACCCTGCCAAGCACTATTCCAATTCTCTTCCACTGGATCCAGGTTAAGAATAAGCCTGTGGCTCAAGCTGAGAAGACACCTTGTAAGATCAAGAACCTCAGAATGACCCAACTGTTGCATAAGGTAGGAAGCGATGCTTAGTGTTTTTTTTTTTTTTCCTCTAGGAGAGGATGAGGGCAAGCGGGGGGCCAGGCTAGTTTTTCACAGGCATTTTTGGTCAACTCAGCAGACTCAATGAGCACATTCTATCCACACCACCTTGCCCCATCTCCACGCGATGTTCACTGGCACTGTTTTTTGATCGTCAGACTACCTCTTTCCTAATCAATCGATCAATCAATCAATCACTTAATCAATGCAGGGTGGGGAGGAGTCTGGGGGAAGTAGGTCAGGTCAATAATGTGGAGTAAATGGGAGCTATGTTGCACCAAGGAAAATTTGCGGGAAAACATCCCCGTGTTCGGTTTGTAAGTATTGGAGCGGTGGTAACGGCGAACAGGTGGAATATTCTGCGCAGATTTGCCTCATTCACCTCACCAGGGTGAGGTCGGTCCCACTGTTGTCCCCATGGTAGTGATGAGGTCACTGAAGCCTACATCAGGAGTGCAAACTGTTTCAGGTCTGCAGCTGCTAAGCAGAGCAGGGTTCAACCCACAGGCCGTCTGCTTGACCACTGTGCTTCTCTCTCCAGGAACTTTAACAATAAACTGAGGCCTGGGTTTGGTGCAAGCTCACCCTGGCAGTGGGGAGGACGCTGGGAGAAATGACTCCCCGAGACATTTCCTTGCCTGAGGCTACTGTAATGTTTCCCCTTTCTTCTTTTATAGAGTACAAGCACCAGCATCACTTCGTTCCCTTTTGTGGACACCAAGGGGAAGAAAATCATGGTTAACTTCCCACACGTCAGCCACAGATTCCTGCTAAGGCCCCCTCTGCTGTTTAACGTGAGTGCTGAACAGTGGACGAGACCCCGAGCAGCCGTGAGAGACGTGGTTTCCCTCCAGAACCAGAAAGTGTAGACAGGCCCAGGATGGTGGGAGAGGCACCTGGCAGCTGATGGTCCGGTTCGGTCCGGTTCTCCCTCTTCACAATGAGTGCACATTTCAGCAAATAAGTCACCGGCTTTCTTTCATCTACAAGATGGGCTCTCTGTAGGGTTGTCGTGAGGAGCCACCGAGGAAAGGAAACATGAAGTATCTGGTGTATAAAGGACAGAAGCATGCAAGATATTTTGTTGTTGGTTTTGCCTCCACTGTTCCCTACTGTTTTTGAGTTATGACCAAATGAGATCATGTAAGAAAGTGCCAAATTACAGAGGTGTTACACACCCCTAAGTTCAAGTGGGTATGCCCTTGGACAAGTCACTGTATCTAGTTAGGAAGTGGTTTTTTCCAAGAGCAGCAGTAAAATACGGTCCCTTAAAATACATCTTCCTGTAGGAAGAGGTGGCTGCAGCTGCCAGATGCAGACTGTAGTGTACATGGTCTCACAGAGAGGAGCCAGGCAGACACTTTGAGGGAACAACCTAGAAAGCCTACTGTCTCATAATTACCACTTCTCCCCGGAGAGGAAGGAGTAGAGTCTGGCTGCATGTGGGTGTTCTTGGCCCAGTAAATGGCTTAGCACACCCAGGTAAGGCGTTCAGGACACCCAGGTAAATGTTCAGGACACCCAGGTAAATGTTCAGGACACCCAGGTAAATGTTCAGGACACCCAGGTAAATGTTCAGGGCACCCAGGAGAAGCCTAAGGACTGAGTCCTTTATCACAAGTTCTTTCCCCGGACAGGAGAATCAAACTCACAATCAGAGGCTGATCTCTGAGCTCAAGGCTCCAGACATGCCGTACCTGTCGAGCACTGGCTCCCAAGATCCCAAGTCCAAGGACAAACCACAAAAGAAGCACAAGGTGCCTCTGACAGCGGCAGGTATGCCTTCGGGGGACCAGGGTGTGGTGGGGCAGCTGCAGGTGGTGGGGGAGGAAGAGCTGAGCTGAGCTGCAGAAGGCTAAGCTGCCAGGTGTTGGGTAGTCAATTAAGGCAGCAAGCCAAAATGAAAGTAACAGTCGGGCCCTTCGTCACTTCCTGTCCTGTGTGAGCAGGACGCCAAGCAGAAGAAAACACTGACTCCCCACTGTTCCATCCCCGCCCCCTATGGGCTGGCACCAGGCCAGGGTCAAATGTATCAGCACAGTCAGACGGACCAGCTCATTGCCTGGGGAGCCTGGCCAGGCTCCTGTCCTTCTATAGAGGAGAGGGGAGGGGGCAGGGCTGGGAAGGGGAAGTACTGAGTACTGAGTAGCAGGGGGTGGGGGAAATGTCTTGAAGTCCCCCCCTCCTTCGGACAAAGAGACCTTGGCAGAGGTGCCTGTGGCGGCCGCTAAGCGGAGGTACTGGTTCTGTGTGTAAGAGCATATCTGGCCAAGGTAACTTGAGTCCTTGACGGAAACTTCTGGGACTGCAGTGCCTTGTGTGCACCCAGGCTGGTGTGGGGGAGGACAGGCTCCCCGGGGACACCTGCCAGGTAGAGCCTTTGTCATTGCCTACGGTCCGGCCTGAGAGATCACACACGCGGTTTTGGAGAGGAACTGACCTCTCACAAGGTTCAGAGATTCATCGCCTATTAGGGTTCAAAGGAGGAAAACCCAAATCCCCTGAGCATCTACCATGTCCCAACCCCAGCTGACGCCCAGAGCCGTTCTCCCGCATCTTTGAAAGTGGTTGTCCTTCTTCCTAAGCATCTCGGGAACTGCTCACTAGAAGAAATGTTAGTTCTGAGCTAGTTCTGCCTTTAAAGAGTTGCTGCCTGCCTCCCTGTTCTCTTAGGCTTTGGTTCTTCCGGGCGGAGAACATGCGTTGTTCGGCCTGCACATGACTGCCCTTTGTATACATGGAGACACCACAGGTCTTGTCCCCCAGGAGTCCTTTTTGTTCCCACCCCGGCAATTCCTTCTCCAACTCTTTGGCAGTTTATTAAACAACATGGTGCCCTTCCTTCTCCCGGTCCTAGTTTCCCTCCTCTGAGCTCTCTCTCAGTCTCCTGCATCTCTCTTAACGTTTGATCCCACCCCTCCTGCCCTCGGACCAAGCACCAGACCCCTGATGCGACCGGGCCAGGGTAGAGTAGACAAGAGCTGACACGTGGTCCTTCTTTGTAGTCTGAGGGACTCCCCGGCTCAGCTGGGGATACCTCCCGGGCCTTGAAAGTCACATTTATGGTACCTGCTTGGCTCCCGAAGACATCATAGCTTTCAGACCCTCTCGGGATAAACTATTTGTGTATCAATATGACATTCACTTGGGCAGCTGCTGCCTTAACTACATACTCTTGTTGACACCAAATTTACTGCTGAATTTTTCACCCGTGCCGCTGCAGGGCACACTCTTTGGGGGACTGAATGCTCCCCTTCACCTCCTTTGTGGTTTTCCCGAGGTGTTGAAATTAGTACAACGCCTTGACATTTGTCCATGTTATAGTTCCACCCTGTGAGACTCAAGATGCATAGTCCTTAGTCAGCCACCAGGTTGAGGAAAGGGCTGTCACCACCTCCACCCCGGGCAACCCCATGGTGTCGCGACATGACTGACAACTACAGTGTTTCTCACACAGAGGCCCTGAGGTGTTTTAGGAACCAACTGTCTTCTTATGAGCACAGCGAAATCCTGGGCTACACAGAGCTGTGGTTCCTGGGGCTCAAAGCCAAGAAGCTCCACGTGGCTCCTGAGGACTTCTGCAAGACGAGCTTTGATGATGAGCATGGCTCCTATATGAAGGTGAAGGGAGAAACACTGGGGGTTGGGGCTTGGGCACAAGAAGGTCTGGGGAAAAAAAAAGTCTGGGGTGTTTCATAGCATTTGGGACTGATCTATCTGGGCCTAGGCATCTTGAAGTGTTCTAGTAGGTGCCAAACTGAAGAAATGCCGTATTTATAAATGAGAAAAACATGCGATTAATACAGAAATTCCTCGGCTAACAGAATATAATTTTCTCCAAGGGCATTTGGGGTGACAGTTTTCTGGGGGAACTCCCACAGGCTCTCCTGCACAGCCCTGGACTCATTGGGGAAAGACAGACTACGGAGTAAGATGCAATCTCCCCGGTATTCCCTTTTTTTTTTTTAATTTATTTTTTTATCCTCACCTGAGGACATTTTTCCATTTTATGTTCAGATAGAGTGGGAGGGAGAGAGAGGAAGAGAGAGAGAGAGAAACATCGACGTGAAAGGGACACATCGAGTGGCTGCCACCCGCGTGACCAACCAGGGCCGGGGACAAACTGCAACTGAGGTATATGCCCTTAGCGGGAACCGAACCCGGGTCTCTCCGGACCGCAGGCCAATGTTCTAACCGCTGAACCAAACTGGCCAGAGCAACATTCCCTTTTTTGTCTCCTCCGCACAAGCCCGTACATGGACCTTTCTTCTATTTTATAATAAATGTCATTCCCCCCCCAGACAAAACTAGAAGAAGCTTTTGCCACTATAGTCCCTGGTATATATAGTACCTGCTGCTTAACTTCCTTCAGTTTTCCAAAGATGGATCCTAGAGACTATTTCTCCGGTTCTGCACCTCTGGGGTTTCTGAGGACAGGGCCTCCTCCCAGCCTGAGGTCTGGGTGGTGGAAGGGTCCCTCTTCCTTCAGGAAGCGCTGTTCAGGTCCAGGGTGTGCAGAGGAGTGGGGCCGAGGCGGGCGGGCTGCGGGAGTGCCCTCCTCCGGACGCTGCCTTATCACCAGCTGGGTTTAGGAGACGGGATTGGTCTTTGATGTCTTCACAGGAGAGGCAGTTGTCTTTTGGAATTTAGGGTTGTGCTTCTCAATCTTTACTGTGCACACAGATCACCTGGGGATCTTATTAAAAATTTGAATTCTTGTCCTGGCTGGTTTGGTTCAGCGGTTAGAACGTCAGCCCAAAAACCCTCGGAGGGTGGCGTGTTCAATTCCCGGTCAAGGGCACGTACCTGGGTTGCAGATTTGATCCCTGGCCCAGGTCGAGGTCATGCAGGAGGCAACCAATCAATGTGTCTCTCTCACACTGATGTTTCTCTCTCTCTCTCTCCCCTCCACTTTATCTAAAAAAAAAAAAAAATCAATGGAAAAATATCCTTGGGTGAGGTTTAACAATAAATACATACATACCTACAAACATACATACACACATATATGCATACATACATTTGAATTCTTATTCACCATGTCTGGGTGGGGCCTGAGATTTTTGCTTCTGGTCCTTGGACCACACTTTGAGAAGCAAGGATTTGGAGTTTTTGCTCACATCCTCTATCTAGAGCCCTAGTTCTCAACATTTTTAGGTCAAGGAACCCTTTGGGAATCTGATCAAAGCTATAAATTCTTATTTCAGAAAAGGCACCGTGCACAGACACAACATTTCAGCGGGGTTGGGGGGATTGTTAATGGGTTCTTGGGTGAGAATCTTTAATATACCTTACTTACCACCACTGCAGCCAGATATCCTCAAATACCCCCCCACCCCCCGGGCCTAGAGTCTCTGGGAATTCCCCAGGGATGTCAGCCCCACGTTCAAGTTAGTTCGCTGGAATTCAGTTCCTCAGCCTCACGTCTGATTTTGGTTGGGGAGCGAGATGTGTGCTTTCTGTGTGCTTGGAATCCCCCTGTTGCATTCCAGCGCGCGCACAGACACACATTGCACATAGCAAATTCCCAAACAAGCAACGCAACTGCATTCTCACATTTATTCTGTCAGCAAATGTTACTTGAATACCTATTTATTGAGAATCTGTCATATGGGTAGGTATCTGCTGGACTCTGGAAATATTAAGGAAACTATAAAAAGTGAGTATGACCTGGTCTTTGGCCTCAATCAATGTCCAAGTTGACGTGTGAGTTAATAATTATGACACCTCCAAACTGGTGGCATGTAGAAGACATGTGCAGGTGCCAGCGAAGCACACGTACCTTTGCATTAACACATGCAGAACCTATGCCTTGCCCTCTCCTCATACATTCTCCTGATAGACCTTTACAAGTAGAGCAATCTGCTTCCACGTATCACTCAAGTTGTACATGTTCATGGTCTTGATTCCTCCTATAGAAACAGATTCCCCAGCTTACAATCACAAATATGTCCTGAGGACTTGTATACACAGACACTTCCCCTTCACTTCTCCCAGATACTCGGAGCTGGAAGGCCTTAGCATCTCATCTGGAACCTACAGTTACAGGTGAAGGCATTCCAGCTCAGAGTGGGTAAGTGGCTTGTCTGAAGCCACCCAGAAAGGTTTTTTTGAATTGGTGATTTTCTGTTGCTTTGATTAAACAGTTGCTCCCTAGTTTCCAGCACATGGAGGGACATGGATGATTCTGGCTCTTGGAAAACATTGTTCTTCTTAGTTGAAAAAGGTCTGAATTCTGTATTGCTAACTCCAAGATAGAATTGAATCTGGATAAGTCAAGAGGAGAACCAGATCTGGCCAGGAAGACAGCAGACACAAAGCCTTCCCTGATTGACGGAGTCACATCAGGGGTCAGAAATAGAACTCCCCCAAACTAAAGCTGCTGCTCTTCCCAAAGAGTAACCAATGTTCTTTGCATTGCCAGACATGGGTAGAGTCTGTTGGACTTTTCCTGGTACCACATGGTGGCCTGGGATCTGGGCGACAACCTAACCATTGCCATAGCGATGAGATGTGGGTGGGAGTTGCACTAGTACCCAGTGCAGTTCAGAAAGTTCCCCTCAGGAGTCAGCCCTGGGAGTCATGACCTGGGAATGGGTATCCAGGGGCCCCAGTGTCAGGGAACCTCAGAGACTATGGCTCTGCTCCTTACCCATTGCCTGGCTTCTACAGGTCCTGCATGACCACATTGCCTACCGCTATGAGGTTCTGGAGATGATTGGGAAAGGGTCCTTTGGACAGGTGGCCAAGTGCTTGGATCACAAAAACAATGAGTTGGTGGCCTTGAAAATCATCAGGAACAAGAAGAGGTGTGGTGGATAGTAGCATAGGCTATCAAGGGGGGACTGCATGACACTGGCCTCTCCATAATGCCAACCCTACCCAGCTCTGCCTCTTCCTCTAATCTTTTTGTCTTTCTCCATCTACCTGATTCCACAGTGTGGTGAAGGGGAGGCAAGAATATGGGTGATTCGTCTTTCTGACTTGCTGGGGTCAAGGGGAGGGGCCAAGAAATTGGGCTGCTGCTGCAGCATATGACACATGTCTTTTGTCCCCATTCCTCCCCCTCTCTTCCCCCTCTCCCCCCAATCACTTCAGATTTCACCACCAGGCCATGGTGGAGCTGAAGATCCTGGATGTTCTCAGAAGGAAGGACAAGGACAATACCTACAATGTGGTGCACATGAAGGACTTCTTCTACTTCCGCAATCATCTCTGCATCACCTTCGAACTCCTGGGGTCAGCTGCTTCTTCTGTTTAACTCATTTTCTTTTGAAAAGTGGCTTCAGGTGACAGAAGAGAAACTCGGAGGTCAGACACTAGATTTTTCTGGATGTAAACATTTAATGACTAGAATGGACACAATGGCCACTCAGTTATTGAGAAAGCCCAGGAGCAAGGAGAACAGGCCAAAAGCTGCCCATCTCGCCCCGTCCCTTCATGCCCGTCACCTGCTAGCATACACAGGATGTGCCACAGGTGCTGGGTGCTGGAGTGGGTGGCAACCGAAACAAGACCTCCGCCCTTAAAGTGAAAAGGAAGTATCTTCTTTGCTGCCATTTCCCCACTAACTGGCTTTACTACCCTGTGGTGCAGAGGCTGAAACCCGAGGGAAACCTGGGGGAGCTGGCAGCTGGCTGCTCAGAGTGGGGAAAGAGCTTTGATTTTGTGCAAATAGGGACAGGACCAGATTTTTTGGTAAGAGAGCAGAACCCGACTGAAATAGATTGGCGTCACCTGGTTGATTTCTGGAGCTGGCAGGGTGTGCTAATTGGAAGGACATGCTAATTTGATTAATTTTTTTCTCAGAGAATGCCACTTGATGAAATTTTTAAAAAACCAGAAACCAGCTTGGCCGGTTTGGCTCAGCGGTTAGAGCGTCGGCCTGCGGTCCCAAGAGACCCAGGTTCGGTTCCCGCTAAGGGCATGTACCTTGGTTGCAGTTTGTCCCTGGCCCTGGTTGGTTGTGCAGGTGGCGACCACTCGGTGTGTCCCTTTCACGTCAATATTTCTCTCTCTCCCTTCCACTCTATCTGAACAAAGAAATGGAAAAATGTCCTCCGATGAAGATAAAAAAAAAAAAAAAAGGTACAAAACAAAAACAAAAACCAGAAACCCAGAATGCATTTAGCAAAGGAGAATGATTAGAGGTGAACTCTCAGAAGACCCGTATTATTGGCTTTACTGAGCTGGTAGCTTGGTGTTCCCATAACATCATTGCTGGTGGTGAAATCCTATGAACTGGCTAAATTTGAATGAGGAGTGAAGTTGACACTCCCCTCACTATCTCTGATGATTACATAAATGTCCACTTTCCAGAGGTGAATTGTCTTTCCGTGACAACATGGACAATGCAGGCTGCCTGTTTTGGCCATTAATCAAGCGCACAGTTAGCATGTCACTGTATTAAAAGTGCTCTGAGAAGTCAGGAGGAGCAGGCGTGTGGTGGGGAAAGCCAAAGCCCAGAGAGGCTGGAGAGTTGCTCAGGGTCACACAGCTGGTCAGAATGAGGCCAGAGCCAATCTTACATCTCCACTGTGCCCGTCAAGAATGAATGGCTTCCTAAATACAGGCGGGGTTAGATGAAGTTCAGATAGAAGATTAGGAGAAACCAGAAGGAGGCCAATGCAGAGTCACTCTGGGCTGTGTCCTCTCCCTCCTCTCCCCATCTTACAGCTTGTACAGAGGTCATAGCCTCGGAGCCCACAAATAAGTTTTTCTTATTAAAATGCTTTGCATTGGTTCCCAACATTTGTAAATCAGCAGATTTCATGCAATATGGCCTGTTTTTGTATACTATTGCAGGCTTCTGCTTGTCTAGAAAATTGAGGAAACCTGGCAAGAGGGAGGCCTCATTCCTGCAAAGGGACAGATGGGACCAAGCGGTCAGGCTTGGTATAGAAAAGAGAAGGTGCCTCTGTTTTACCCCAGCCTCCATCTGTCTACGTTCTTGTTCCCTGATCTGTCAGGACCCTGACATCCTCAGATAGCCTTTCCAGCCTGGGCGGAAGGGGCTGCCGGGGGGGATGACTGGTGGGCTTCCTGGATTCCTCCCAAGTGTCCGAAGAACTATGAATATTTTAGAATTTTTGTCAGTGTGGTCCAACCTCTCTCTCTCTCTTTTTTTTTTAATATTTTTTTCTTTTATTGATTTTAGAGAGAGAGGAAGTGAGAAGGAGATAGAGATAGAAACATCCACAAGGGAGAGCATCCATTGGCCGCCTCCTGCATGCCCCACACTGGGGATCAGGCCCACAGCCTGGGCATGTGTCCTGACCGGGAATTGAACCAGTGACCTTTTGGTGCATGGGTCAATGCTCAACCACTGAGCCACACTGGCTGGGCAGTTTGGTCCAACCTCTTAACACCCACAATATAACAAAGTGATTGATTGACCTTGTCACAGAAGGAATGAGGGCACATCTCATAGGCCAGCACAGTTGAGCATCATCCTGGAGCCGCCATGAATCGATGGGAAAGTTGAGTTTATAGGACACAAAGCCCTGACTCTTGGTCCAATGCTTGCCTACTACCAGAGGGAAACCAGGTAGTATGGGATTGTTTGCAGGTTCAAACCCAGCATTGTACTTTTTACACCGAAACGCTCCCCTTTCTCTCTCTCTCCCAGAATCAACTTGTATGAGTTAATGAAGAAGAACAGCTTTCAAGGCTTCAGTCTGTCAGTAGTTCGGTGCTTCACCCTCTCTGTTTTGAAGTGTTTGCAAATGCTTTATGTAGAGAAAATCATTCACTGCGATCTGAAGCCTGTGAGTACAACCTCTGTCCTGCCAGGGGAGCTGTTTCCTACCCTCAGAAACTGCCCCATTCCATCCCCCAGTGGTAACTAGACAGCATCGTGGCCAGGGCTCCCGGGTGGAGGCAGGCACAGGGCATGTAAATCAACTGAGATGCAGTGAAGACTAAGGGATGGTTTGGGGACAATGAAGAGAGACATGGTGTCATTGAGGCAGACAGGAATAGGAAGGTGTGAGGGTGTGTAGAGGTGTGTCATGTAGGGGGCTGGATCTCCGCTCTATTAAATCCTCGCTTTGTCCACTCGACTCTGAATTGGTCCTAGGGTACAACAGATTTCTGAGTCCTTCTTCTACTCCAAATGGATGTGCCCTTCCCTCATGCCCTCCTGGTGTTCTGTACTTAGCTCTGGTACTGCACTGATTGCTTTCTGTAGGAATGGTTTGTCTTTTGAATCACCCACTGAACTGCAAGTTTTCTCAAGGTCAGGAACCATGCCTTCTCACCATCTTATTTCCAGGACCTACGGTGGTTCCGACAATAGAAATGGTAGGCAATAGGTAGGGAAATGTTTGTCAGGTGAACTAATCATTGCAAATGTGAGGAATCCAGAGGGGGACCTAGAGAAAACGTGTAAAAGTGTGAAGATATGGGGTCAGGAGCTGGTTCCAAAATCAACCCGACTCTCACAGATAGATATATATTTTAAATATGTTTTTAAAAATGATTTTTGAGAGAGAGAGAAACATCGATGTGAGAGAGAAACATCGATTGGCTGCCTCCTGTACACCTTCTACTGGGGATCAAGCCTGAAACCTGGGCATGTGCCCTGACTGGGAATCAAACTCTGGGACCTCAGTCCATGGGGCGACGCTCAATCCACTGAGCCACACTGGCCTGGCTCTTACGGATATTTAAATATCCCTTAACTTTTTCTCATTCCTTTCTCCTCACACCCCAACGTGTTTGTTTATTTTAAATGTGACCCAGTGGGTAAGTTTGGGATATTTTGACAATGAAAGATTGTCTAAGTAGAGATGTTCCCTCAGGAGGGACTGGAGGAGCCTCACAGTGGTGGCACATTGATTTATTCTCCTTATCCAAGTTCGTAATCCCTAGCTTTACAGTTCCAAAGGGACACAGCAACCATGGTTTTTGAGCTGAGGGGACTGACTCTCACCAAGGAAATTCACAAGACACCTGGTAGCCAAAATATCAGGTAATAGATTTCCTTGAGAAACACATAGAGTAATTTAAAATGTATGTGCCCAGTAGAGAAGTATGCGTATAACCAGGAGAGTGATGAATGTGGATTCAAGAATGTGGGTTATTCTTACGAACTTAATGGTTAGCATCAGTGAACTGTGATGCATCCATGCCCCCACTAGAGTGATTTCTGCCAATAAGCTGGGAAGGCCAGCTCCCTCGAGCTAAGGAGCCTTTCCATTGGGCTAGAGACACACTAGAAATTCCCACTCTTCTAAGACTTGCTGAGCATACTCTTTCAGTTAATACAAATATTCTTTAGAAAAGGTAGTGGGGACTAAGTTTGTACTGTCTTAGTTTATGGAGCCAGAGATTTTAGACCAGGTCTGCTATTGCATATCTAGAATGGTAAGGGACTCAGTAAACCATCAGTTCATCTGATACTTATAATAGCCAATTTATCTGATAATTCAGGTCCTTGAAAACATGATTTGTACTTTAATCTTCCCGCCCTAGGTGGTACACTCTCATGTTCGTGGAGGCGAGCCCAGGAGCTCGGCCTCTATCCATGACATCCTGGTTTCACACATGTCCCCCAAATTCAGCATAAGAATCACAAATTCCAGTCAAATCATTCTCTCTCTCTCTCTCTCTCTCTCTCTCTCTCTCTCTCTCTCTCGTCTCTGTCATAGCTGTATGTTGATTGGGCATTTAATGGACACATCAAATTCTGTCAGTGATATTTCTAAGGCTTATGTAAGCAAGGCATAGAACCAGGTGCCAAGGAGATAAAAATAAACCCATAATCTGTATAGAAAATGGGACAAAATATATGCAAAAGAAATACTGCATAGCAGCAAATACTGGATCAAACGAGAGGTACCTACCACAAGTCAAATGGGAGGTCAAAGGAAGGTAAAAACAATAGGATTTGGAGAAGGTGTGGGAGGAGCCCACCGTGAGGTAGTCGAATTCCAGACTGGGTCCTGGAGGATGGCAGACATTTAGATCAGCAGAGGGCCTAGGGCAACTATTAAAGTATGACATATGTCCTTCTTCTTCTCTTTAGGAAAATATAGTGTTATATCAGAAGGGCCAAGTCTCTGTGAAAGTTATTGACTTTGGATCAAGCTGTTACGAGGATGAGAAAGGTAAGCCCCATTCCAGTCTCTTTGTCTGAATTTTCCTATTGAGATTTCTTTTTTTAAAAATATTTTTTAATTTATTTTAGAGGGAGAGGAAGGGGGAGGAAGATAGATAGAGAGAGAGCGTGGAAAATATCAATGTCAGAGAGAAACATCAATCAGTTACTTCCAGTTGACATGCCTGACCAGGAATCAAACTGGTGACCTTTTGGTGCATGGGACAACACTCAACCAACTGAGCCACACCAACCAGGCTCTTTCCCTTACCAATATGCCAAATCTAATTTTCTTGGGGAGTACCCAAGAATCTGCACATAGCCATTCTGCATTTTGGGGTTCATTGCCCTATGCTCCCTAGACTTTATACTTTCTTCAAGCGAGAATTCAGCAAACAGCCCTGAGAACAATGGCACAAACTGTTGAACTTGATTGAATAGTCTCTACTTTGGTTTTTATCAAGTTTGCTGTTGACAACACGTACCATTCCACAAACGTTTACTGAGTATCTTCTATGTGTCAGTCACTGTCCTGGATACCAGGAACAAAAAAGCAAAACAAAACAAAACATTTCCTGTCCTCAGATTGCTTGCAGTCCAATGGAAGACACAGAAAGATGAAAAGATAAAATGATAGGTGCAATGATCAGAGATATATAGACTGTATTAAGAGCACACAAAAGAGGGGTTTTGAGCCTTCATGGTAGTGGGGTGTTAGAAGAAGCCTCCTGAGGTTGAAAAAGTGATTATTAGATGGGTGTTTTCAAGTATTCTGCAGCATCACTTTGAAGACCTATGTCCTTTACATTTTATGGATCCCGAAAGAAATTCCAGCTAGAAAGCAACATGCCTTTCACAAAGAACCGTTACTCTTCTCAAATAGAAAAGCTGTGTATAACCTCTCAGTTACCATTTATTATGGCTGGCAGGATACTCAAAACTAAATTTGTAATTATTGTGTCCTTGGTCTCTGGGAGTCATTTTCCCCTTTATCTTTCGTTTAACTGTGAGACAGTATAGCGTTAGAAATACTAGACTTGAACTGCCTGGGTTCAAACCCCTCTCTGCCACTTATAGCTGAATGACCTCGACAATTTATTTAATCTCTGTATGCTTCAGTTTTACAATGGGGGCAACGATAGTGCCTGCTCCATAGGGTTGCTGTAAGGATTGAAAGGGCTTATCTGTCTAAAACACTTGGAATAGCAGCTGCCATGTATGAAGCATTATGTAGGTATCTGTTAAATGTTTAAAACTACCCTGTATATATGTACTTTAACTGCAAAGTGCTTCAAATTCATTTTGGAAGCAGGCAGGATATAAAAGTCATTTTTATTAACTCTTTATTTTGTTTTTCATCACAAAATTATTACATCCTTAGTATAATCAAGCCAAACAACAGAGAAGGGATTACAGAATCCCAGCCCTGCCCCATCCAGAGAGTCGCCAATAATAGCACATGGAAACAACCAAAATGTCCCATTTCTCCAACCTCGGTCCCCTTACCTATAAAATCTAGGCCCCTGAAATATCATCTTCCATCCAACCTCATCCGCTGAGATTCCACCAAGCTCTCCTTTCCACACTTGACACCACACAACACCTGCACATAATGCCCTGCACACGCGCTTCCAAATTGAGGCTTCTGTGTGCTGCTTTTCCAATTCTCATATGCCTCCTCCCTTGCCCAGTCACAGTGCTCTCTGAAGGTGTCTACCCCAAATTAATCTGACAGTTTGGAAACTGAGCTTTATATTCGTCTTATGCTTCCTTTTTTTTGAAGCTTAGCAGACTAAAATTTGTTTTAGTCTGGAAGTAGAGTTCATCAATAAGGTGAGGATAATAACACCTGTGTAATAATCGGGTTGCTGTAAGGATGTGATGAGATTAGATACATATGATGTGACTTCCGAGTGCTGCCTGGTTGTACTTCCGGCCCCCTGCAAAGCCCGGTTGTACTTCCGGCTCCCTGCAAAGCCCGGTTGTACTTCCGGCCCCCTGCAAAGCCCGGTTGTACTTCCGGCCCCCTGCAAAGCCCGGTTGTACATCCAGTTTCCTGCAAAGCCCATAGAGCGAGAAGATGCAGGGAACCATAATTATCATTCACCCTCACCTGAGAAGGTTTGCTGGAGAAGGATGCTCTGGGGAGAAGGTTTTCCCACTTGAGGTTTCCCTTTCTTTGCTCGCAGTGTACACATACATCCAAAGCCGGTTCTACCGATCCCCAGAGGTGATCCTGGGCCATCCCTACAACATGGCCATCGACATGTGGAGCCTGGGCTGCATCATGGCCGAGCTGCACACGGGCTACCCTCTGTTCCCCGGGGAGAACGAAGTGGAGCAGCTGGCCTGCATCATGGAGGTGAGGGAGGGCCCGGGACAGGGCCTCCTCTGCACAGCGGGGCCGCAGGCTCGCTGCTGGGCGCCGCCTGCCCTCTTACCTGTTTAGGAGTCCATATTCTCTAGAGGTGTTAGGAAATTATGTATCCCCTTTTACACTTTTAAGTTGCCATCTAATATTTTTACCATAAATTCAAAAGATGTCATTTTCATCATATTGTGAAGTGACATTTAAAAATAAAACTGTTACACCAGTCTTTCAAATATATTCAAAAGAGTCTAAAACCAGGGTGACATGACACCCATCAAAATCGATGTGTTGTTCAGTCATTAGTCATTCATTAATTTTAGCTTTCTGGGAAGAATATTTCCTGATAAAAAAAGGCACATCATATGATCATTTATTATACCTATTATTGTTTTAATTAAAGGCCTCTTGTTATGGAGCTAAATTAGGTAAACAAGGAGAAAAATAACCCTAAGAAATAGAAAATTTCACACTTTAGAAATTTCTCAGTGAACAAAGGTATTTTGACTATGAACACAAATGGATCATTATCTATCCATCTATCATCTATCTATCTATCTATCTATCTATCTATCTATCTATCTATCTCTTTCTACCTAACTATACCAAATCTCTATTTTGTAGATTGTCTCAAGGTAACAGATGGTCAGAGACACTCCCACACCCTTGAGAATCATTAAATATAGTTTTATTTAGTGGTTGAAACTAATAGTAAGGTGTTAAGATAAGTTAGACAATGATAGCTGTAAATGACAGCTATGTTGACATGAACACTGGCATGAGAATCAGTAAAGCTGGAGTTTAGTCCTGGATCTTTCTCTTTGGCAACTTACTTTTCTGCTCTGGACTTCTATGAATTGGAGGGATGAGCAGATATGGCTTCTAAGGTTGATGATGGATGATTTAATAAAGTGCCCCTGAACTCTTCCTGCTTCCAATACCAAGGAGAATGAGGAGTATGGGGTCTGGGTTGCGGTTCCTCCTACCCCAGATTCAGCTTCCATTAACCTCAGCATCAATGGGGCTGAGGAGCAGGAGGGCGGGGTCTGCGTGGAGATGCTAGGAACCCAGCTGCAACTGTAGGTGACCCTGGGTTTAGTGACACCAGTAACTTCTCTATCTCTGTGCAACCTATAGGTTGCAGTGGGGACAGGTAAACAAGTCAGTGCTATAGTTTTGTTTTGTGTTGTTTTTCAAGTAGGTATTTTGTCATATTGTGGTCTGACACCCATCTGGTTATTTCCATCTTCTCTCTCTTTCCTCCCTTCCCGGTGCTCTGAGCCAGGCTATGATAGTCCTTAGCTTGAGGGTTGTCAGCATGCATACTGGTTTATTCAGTCTGACAATGAGAGCTGGCTACCATCAGAGTGCCTACCTCTGGTTGGTGCTGATGCCAGTTTAGAGGTACATGACTGGTGTTGTGGTCAGCATGCTGCAAAAGCCTGGGTTAGGAGTTGAAAGACCCAGGCTCTGGGCCTGCTCTGCCACTGACTGATGTCACAGCTTCTCTGGGTCCCTGTGGAAGGCAGCCTTTGACCAAGGTCCCCCTCAGTCCTTGTGGTCTTTGAATATGAGATTTCACAAGAGTGAAGCAACTACCTTTTACTTGTTGAAGGTGCTGGGCCTGCCACCAACCCACTTCATGCAGACGGCCTCCAGGAGACAGACATTCTTTGGTAAGTCCCCAGGTCTAACTCTTTATCCCATTGTGGCTGACGAAGTGTCACAGACCTTGAAGACATCTCCCATACCCCAAACCCCATGTAGTGCTCTTTCCTGGCCCCATCCCAAAGGACAAACTGTGATTAGGGGTTTCTTTCAGAAAAATAAAATGATGCCGGGAAGTGGTAAGAGATGGCATGATGGAGAGGGGATGGGGGAGTCACATTGGGCATGAGGTCTCGGCAGTGAAAATACGCAGGAACATGGAAATGATAAAGTTTCTGCTTGGAAGATCTATAAGCAGATCTTGAAACCTTAAGTATTATAACTATTCCCTCTCCCATATGTTCTCCTTGCCTCCCCCAGCAGGTGCCCCCTCAGACTATGTACTGTGCAGGGACATCAAAGATTAGAAGCTCCTTTTCAAGAATAGTGGAAAGTTTCATTGTTACATTCTGTCATTAATGGAGCATTATTCTTTCCTGCTGAAATCCCCTAATTCCTCCAGAACCTTACTATCCCAGATTCTCTGCAACTTTGGAATAAGATGGGTAAGCATGGGCTGTCAGAACAGGCGGGCTGTCAGAACAGGTGTGCTGTGGGTGTGTTGTGGCTTGCCCATTGTGTATAGGACATCTGCCTAACTACTGGAGTTAAGTCCCATGCTGACCCTCATCACATTTCCCAGACTCTGGGTTTTATGATACTCTGCCTTTCAATTCTGGTAGTGCTGTGCAAGATGGACAGGTGGATCAACAAAGTCCTGTAGAGGCAGGACTTCCAGGGCACTGTGCACCAAAAGGATGAAATCAGCCCCACATCTAAAATCCCCTTGAAGAACCACAAGAAGCTAAGGGATTCCCATGTAGAAAAAAAGCTGTAGTGGCCCAGAGGTCAGCCAAGTGGAGCCAAGCCAGACACGAGAGGTAGGATCTCCACACACAGGGACTCTATGACACATGAGACAACATTTCTAACCAGCCATTGTCATTGAGTTAGTTGACAGGCTCATAATGGCTGTGGAATCCTAGTCATTCCTAACCCTCCCACCTCTTACTTTTCTCCCAAGAGTAGCCTCAAAATGAAAGGCAAATAGCATAATTTCTCTCCACAACTTGCCCCATCAATAGGAGAGTCAAAAACACCCTCATGGGGGATCCTCCTGGTCAAAGAGTTTCAGTCATCTTGGTGGTCAGTTGGTATGTACTGGTTCAGCCTTGTGAGGGTTAAAATGTAGACTATTTCTGTACCATTTGGTAAAATGCCACAGCCTCAAGCCCCTGCCACAGCCATAGGCTGCCTGGCCCCTTTCCTAAGACTCCCTGGACTCCCCATGATTTAGAAGCTAGATGTTGAAGGCCTGGCGACTAGAGGGCCTCCATGATCTACTTCAGTGCCAAGGCCATCATCCATTCTGATCGGTCAGTTCTCTGCCATTCCAGTGGTTAAATCTTTTAAATATCACCTTGGTGTCATGGCTGGAACTTTGAAAACCTTGCCTCTGAGTGGAGTCAGTGTCCTTGGTAGCCTTAGCATGGTGCCCACACACGAACTAACCCTTCTTCCGGAGCAGTCTGATGGCAGGCAGGGGATCTGGCTGACTGGCTGCTATAACATACATGGAGCCATGCAACTGGTCTTTTGACTCCCAACTGGGCATTTGGACTCCAAAGGATTTATGGAGAGAAAAGTAGAGATAATGGTGTTTCCTCCTGCTAGACGAAGACACTGTGGGAAGAGCCACATCTTAACTATAACACTAAGCTCAGGAGATAGTATGCGGATGGAGGTTGAAAAGAAGGGAATATAGGGCATTTTTGTGAGGGGGTACCAAAGACATGCATGCACATGCCCATGTTGCAGTGTGTTTGATTTTTTACCATCAGCACTAGGTTTTAGAATGGTGACGTGGTTTTGTTAGCAACATCCACATATCCTCACTTCCTGCAAAAGAAAAAATATTACTGGGAGCTGCATCCTCGTCAGTGTTTCCCAAACTTTGTCTGATTATAGGAATCACTTGGGTACTTGGCAGGATATTCATTCCCATATCCTCTTGTATAACCTATGATAAGGAGTTTGAGGTGGGACTCAGGAATCTATGTTCTTAACAACAGCTCTTTGTGATTCTTCTGAAGTGAGTTTGGGAAACACTGTGTCCCTGTGCCCACTTCCTTTCTCGGCTTCCTTCCTCAGGCTTGGGTTGCCAACTGTTCCTCAACTCCCAGCCCCTCCTGGTAAATCCCACACATCGGTAGTGAAGCGATGTTGTCTCAGAGGTAGTAGTAAGATACTTAGGTGCTCTAGGCAGCAAGAATGAGATGGAAGAATAGTTGGGGAACATTAGAGGGGTGAGAAAAACTTGTACAAGTAAATCAATTACATCATGATGACTTCGGGAGCTATGTAATTTATAAGCTTGTGAGCCTGATTCTTCTTTGGTCATTTGTAAAAAGAGTAACATATAGGATAAGGAGTGGGCAGGGCCAATGGTGCCACAGACAAAAAGGGAAATGGGGATGCGTATGAATTCACAGGACCTATACCCTGTGCCATGCCTCTAACCCTCACCTGCATAAATACATAGATATAGATACCCATGTGTATATACACACATACACTTATATACATTCATGGTCTCTTCCAGGGATTCAGTAAGAGCATGTGTTCTTTTGGAGGCCCTGCCAATTGCATTGATTACAAAAGTAATAGAAGCACTTCATTGTACACCTTCCAGTTCTGCTACATGAACCCCACTGAGTTTTTGTGAAAATTCAGTTTAATACGTCAGTTGTATGTGTGTGTATATACATATCCATCCATTTATATGCAGATTTACAAGGTGTGAACATAAGTGGTCAACTTTTCTGAACATGTACACCAGAGTCCAGATTTCCAAGTGGGTGGTCTCACCTTCACAGCATTCATTGCACAAAGCGCCCTTGGGCGCCTCTGGAGCTGTCTTCAGAGCTTCTCCTCAAGCATGACAGATCGGACACCTGGTGAGGGCTGCTGTTGGTGAAAATAACCAAAGAAACTCATTTCAAGCTGTGCCTTAAGGAACAATCAAGTTTGAATTCCAATTATGGGCAACATTTCTTGATGTGCCTACAAAGAAGTAATGAGAATAATTTACTAGTGTGGCTTGTAAATGGGCTCTGGAAGCAAATCATTGTCCTACCGTGACTTTCTTGTTAGTCCCCGTGATGTCCTGAATTCTCACTTTGTTGGGTTGGTGGGAAAGGAACAAGGGCATCGGTAATCTGAGAATGGAAAATATCCTTCTTTTTTTTTTCAATCCTCATCTGAGGATACTTTTTCCATTGATTTTTTAGATAGAGTGGAAGGGAGGGAGGGAGAGAGAGAAACATCGATGTGAAAGAGACACACCAATTGGTTGTGTCCCTCATGATCCCAACTGGGGCTGGGGATCGAACCTGCAATCCTTCGGTCTGTGGGCTGATTCTCTAACTGCTGAGCCAAACCAGCCAGGGTGACAATATCCTTTTTGTTCAGAGCTGAATGTTTTATTCATTTCAGATTTATTATTATATTATTATTATTAATCATTATCATTATCATTTTACCTTAATGTTAAACCATTTAAACCATTTGATTGATTCGAGGAGGAGGAGGTGGGAAGGAGGCTCAGAACACACTGGATAGTAGGGAAAATTGTTTGTAAAAGGTAATTGCAATCATTGGATAATCTACACGTGGGTATTTCAAATTGACTGAGACTGTGGGTGTGTTTGTATGGAGGAGGCGGTATAGCACCGTGAGTGAGCGAGCAGCAAAGACCACCCCGGGACGCAGCGTGGATGAGTGAACAGCTGTGACTGTGACCAATGAATATTTACACCTGGAACTAAACACCGACTGTTGTATCTCTAAAGATTCCAAAGGTTTTCCTAAAAGTATAACCAACAATAGGGGGAGAAAAAGATACCCGGATTCCAAGGATCTCACGATGGTGCTGAAAACCTACGACTCCAGCTTCCTGGACTTTGTCAGAAGGTGTTTGGTGTGAGTTTGTCGGGGTGCCTTTGTCTCTGATTCTCCTTTTAAATACTATACTTTCCCACATGCTTGCTTGTGAAAGTCTGGGGCTGGGAGAAGGTTATAAAAACACTGATAAATGCTGGCCATAGACCTCAAGAGTCTACAAACACCTCCGCAGATTGCTCTCCCCACCTCCTGTGTGATTGTCAGGGCAGATGATTTGCTCTGTTTTGAGATACGGAGGCTGAGGCTCAAAGGAATTAAGTGATTTGCCCTGGATTACAGTGTGTGTAGAGCTTGCCTTCTTCTTGGCCTCCAGCTGCCTGGCAATGAGGTTGGAGGCAAGTCCTAAATGTCTTCTGCTTCATGAACTGAAGCCAGCCTCTTCCACATGCCGGTTGTAACTGCACACATGCCCGTGAACGGGCTCAGGGCCTCTCCCCATCCCCCTGGGCTTTAGAGCCTAAATCCTTCAGGGCAGGAAAAGGGCAAGCTATAAACCATTTATTATGTACAGCCTTTTGAATCTACACGTGTATTTTGAATCGTAGAAATTAGGCCCTTACTTAAGTCAAGTCATAGTAAGAAAAGAACAGCACACGAAGCACACACCCAGTGCAGTGCCCCTCGTTAGGTGTTTGGAAAATGTGAGCTACTGTCATTTTAAAGAGGTTTTTCCAGTCTGTCTGCACCGAGTGGCAAAGAGATGTGCTGTGTGATATTTGGTAAGTCAGTGCCTCTCTCTGGGCCTCAGCTATCTTTTACATAAAATGGGGTATTCCTAAGGTCCCTTCCATGACACAAGTCCTATTGTTCAGTATTTGTAGAAGACCATATCTTCATGTTCTATCATTATTGCGGGTGGGGGGTGGGGTGGGGGATTAGTTTTAGCAGAAAACCCCTCTGGCGTTTGTGCATTCTGGAATTTAGACTAGCTCAGAGGGTAAACATCAGGTACTGCTGAAAGTTTACCCATCCAGGGGTCATGCTACTCCTCTTGGAAATAGAAATGGAAAAGGATCCTGTACCCCATTATCCCCACCCCACCCCAGCCTCTTGCATGAATATGCATTAATAAATGACAGAAACCCATTGCTGAGACAGGGGTGACTGGTCCAGAAACCCCAACCATCCAGAACACAGCTTAGGATCAGGAAAGACATTCTTTTCTTTTTCACTGCAAAGGGCTGGTTGCTCACGACCTGCAAGAAGCCATCAAGTTACGGGGGCCTATTACCTTATCATCCGTATTCTGCTAATTAACAAACCTTAGAATGAGAGGCGAGAAGTTTTGAGTCAAATTTAACAAGGGCGAATGTAAAGTCCTGGCCTAGGTTTTATAGATGAAAGTCTAGGCGTCTAGAAGGAGAGATTCTGGCAGATGTAGCGTAACAGCAGTTCATTTGACAAAGAACTGGGAACTTCCGCTCTTTATGACCTTGATAAGGCTAGAATAGAATGCCACCTACTACTGCACTTAGAAGCTATTCCTAACATGATGTCACCAGTTAGACAACAGCTGAAATTTTCTATCTGGGAAGACGGCAACTATATCATATGATCTACAGTAGTTAGTAGTAGTGTAAATATTTTCAGATACTAAAAAGATTATAACATGAAAGATGGATTAGATGTCTCAATCCGTATAATGCTGATGGGTAGCATGATGTATAATGCTACTAAGACCTGGGTCAAAGTTACTAGGGTTAAAGTTTCTAGGAAGTGAATTTTGGCTTAATAAAAATGAAAAGAAATTTTAAAGAATTGGCATTTTTAAAAATTGTGGATCTGAGAGTTAGTGCCTTATCACTAAAGTTACTCATGGACAACAGGATGATTCCATGTTAGGGGTCCTGTCAAATATATTTTGTTACTGCAGTAGAAGTTTGGCTGGTTTATATCCAAGTCCTCTTATAACTTTAATATTCTAGCATTCCATAATATTCTTTGTGATATATTTGTAGGTCCAAATTCTGTAGTCTGGGAATTGAAATTAAGCATCTGTTTTTGATGTTCTTAGTTTTCACATCCAAAATCCTATTGGTTAAGATTTTCTACAATATTTCTAAGGAAATTTCTAGAATGCTAGGAGACTTGGGCTCTGTTACATTCTTTGCCTTGTCGTGCAAATTTGCTAAAAAAGATGATTTCCAATAGTTATTTCCAGGTACTTTAAAATTGTGTCATAATCTCCGTTCTATAATATCTTTGAGTTATAGCTTAAATGGGTAATTTAAAAATGAACCACTCATGTTATACCTTATTTAGGTTTTTATTGGAGTCTTAGAAAATGGTTTGTTATTAAAACATAAAACAATAATCCGTGCTGGGCTTTGTTGGTGTATAGATGGGAACCTTCTCTTCGCATGACCCCTGACCAGGCTCTCAAGCATGCTTGGATTCATGAGTCAAGGAATCTCAAACCACGGCCCAGGCCCCAGGCCCTGAGGAAACTCAATCTCCCTTTCCCCTCTGAGGCAAGAAAGGACAAGGTTCAAGGGCATCACCACTTGGGTAAAAAAGGTACAGCCCCTCAAACAGTCAGTCCTCTGCCCCAGGCCCAGGGGTTAGGCATCTGTGGATGATTGCATGTCAGTTTCTCTGAACTGACCTTGGATAATTATTCTGGCTCCATCCCTACTGGCCTTCCATTTCTTTCTTTTGGGGTTTTCCTTTCAAGAAACTTGGTTCTAGCTCTTTTTGGCTCCTTATGGTTAGGATTTTCCATTTTTCATCTTCAATTCCCTCTCTCCTCCTTTCCTTTCGTGTGTCCTTTTCTGCAGTCCCATAATTACCTTTTGAATTTTTATCAGATTATGGCATTAGTCAAATATGTTTTATATGCAAATAGCCTACTGGTTATGTACATGGTCATTGGAGTCAGGTTGCCTGGAATTAAATTCAGGCCCTATTATTACCCGGTATGGGCCCTTGGGTAGTTTACTTACCTCTCTGTATCTCAGTTTCTCTATTTATGAGAATGAGAATAATCACTGTTTTCTATGGTTGAGGGGAAAGGATCAAATGAATTAGTAAATATAAAGTACTTAGAATAATGCCTGGCACATAGAATGTGCTTTATAAATGAATTGCTTTTATATCATTACATCCAGGGTTTCCCTGCTAATGGACAGTTAGCATATAATTCACATCTGAACACTTGTTCCTTTGTCTTCTCTCTCCAACAGATGCCATCACCAAAGAAGAGACTACAGACAAAATACAAGATAGCACTGCTAAGCAGGTTCAGAATTCGGGTGATCAGCAGGGCTCTCTCCAGCACACAGCTGAAGTGGTCCAGCTGCCTCATCTGGCAGAAGCTTCCAGTAAACCAGAGGTGGCTGTCAGGCCAGAGGCATCCAAGACCTCCACAGAGCAACAAAGCAAAGACTCCTCCCCCAAGAACGCAAGCATTTTACCACCTATTGTATGACCTCTGCTGAGGGCGTGTCCTGTTCCTTTTCACCAGTGATTTGTATCAGAGACCACACTTATATTGTACAATACTTCAGATACTTGTTGTTTTTAATGCATAAAGGTTTGTTTAAAAAACTAAAAAAACAACTCTATTCACAAGGCCAGTTGGCATGATTCCTGATATGAGAGATGGGAGAGGATGTCATTGTATCTATATTCCCTCCTTATGCTCTCAACCAGATAAAACAATGGGTGTGTGTGCCATATAGGTGTGTGTGTGTGTGTGTGTGTGTGTGTAAATAGTTATACCATCACTAATAGAAGTATAAATTGTTGTTTTTTTGCCCAAGACAGGATTCCTGTTTGAAAATGACAGAAACTGAATTCAAACTAGTTTAAACAACAAGGATATGTATTGGTTTATGTAATTGGGGAATCAGAAAGGATAAGTGTAGTTTGAGGCACAGCAGGATCTAGGAATTCCAACAAGGTCATAGGGCTCAGACTCCCTCTCCATCTTAGCCTTGCTTCTTTAAATAAACATGTAAGTTAACTTCATTCTGAAGACAAGCTGTGCCCAGAAGTTAAGATGACGACCACTACCAAAATACGCAGTCTTCCTTGCTGGCAGGAAAGTCGTAGAAATGATTGGTCGTAAACCAGTCACTATGTCTGAGATATTGGGATCCTCTGATTGGCCAGACTGCGCCACAAGCCCACACTGAGATGCTGGTGTTGGTGGTAGCACCATGTCAGGTGCTTCATCTAGCAGGATGTGTTTGTCCATCCACCACTCCCACAGTCTAAGTTCACTTACTCTTTTGTCTTTATCTAGTCCTTATCTAATGAATACATAATCTCCATATAGTTGTAATTATACTACAGATAAAATCAAGATCATAACAGCATAAACAACATGAAAAATATTCCTGGGCTTCATAGTTTTCATTTTAATCATTGTGTGATATTCTATGAAGAGAGATACCAGATAAACGAAGCTATGGGTTTAGATGAAATCACCCAGGGAAGGCAATACAGAATAAGAATAGCAGAGGGTGAGAGAAAATCCTGGAAGAAATAAACATGTAAGTGACTGACAAAGTTGAGTACAGTCCCAAAGAGAAATAGGAAAATTAGAGCTGGCCCGTGTGGCTCACTGGTTGAGCATCGATCCAGGAATTGCCTGTTCAATTCCTGGTCAGGGCACATGCCCGAGGTTGTGGGCCAAAGCCCCAGTGGGGAGCATGCAGGAGGTGACAATCGGTGTTTTCTCATCAACGTTTCTACCTCTCTCTCCCTTTCTCTCTAAAATCAATAAAGAAAAAATTCAAAAATAGGAAAATTAGAAACCAAATGAGAAAGTTTCTATAAGGATAGATCAAGAATATAAAATTCGAAAAATAAAATAAAATAAAAAATGTCCAGCTGGTGTGGCTCAGTGGTTGAGCGTTGGACCCATGAACGAAGAGATCGCTGGTTTGATTCCCAGTTAGGACATATGCCCAGGTTGTGGGTCCGATCCCCAGTGGGGGGCATTCAGGAGGCGGCCAATCGATGTTCTCTCTCCCCCTCTCCCTTCCTCTCTCTCTAAAATAAAGAAAATAAAAAGTAAAATAAAATTCCACAGAAAAGTCATAATAAGAACAGAAAATGCTAATAGGATAATATAGACATTGACTCAGTGCAGTATCATAACAGGTAACTTATCTCACGTCCTGTAATCAGAAAGGTCCAGAACTGGCAAGAAAACTTAACTTCATCTTAACTTCTAGTGACCTTTTCGGACACTATCTTCAACCATGGATACCATCATTAGAATGACTGAGATTATTAGAAAATATTTCCCAATTTGCATGGTTATAAAAGACTGAAATGAGTTGAAAAATTCTAGTTTCTTATTTTTCGGGAACATTTTAAAATAGGGGAGCTGCCTGTTGTGACGGAATGGGGGATACGTCATGAACAGGCTGAATGAGCTTTGGCAAGGGCTCTCCATCAGAATTATTTTTCTTCTACTATCCATCTGACTATTTCCTCATTTCTGAGATTTCTTTACCTTCTTGGCCCATTGGATCCCAAGGAAACCACAAAACCACACACCTGGAGCCCTTTAATTGTAATTGTTTTTTATTTTATGTCCTTGCTCGCATGGACAGGAAAATCTGCAAAATCCAGTGGCTAGCATAAGATGACACGTGTTTGATGTGAGTGGGATGAAGATAATGTCAGGGCTCTGTGAGGGCATAGAGAGGGGAGCTGTGGGGCGAGAAGACGGGAGGGAGGGGCTGGGCCCACTGCCGGAAACGGGGAAGCAGTGGGTGGGCGCTGATCACAAGTTCACCATCAGCCAGTCCAGCAGCGGCAGCCGCGTGACGTTGCCCACCGCCTCGTCCAGCTGTCGCTCCTTCTCGTAGCGCAGCACTGACTGCAGAACCTCACCCACGCTGCGTCCTTTGTCCACGGCGACAGCTGAGAGCTGAAGTAGCTGTGGGAAGAAAAGAAAGCAGTGGTGGAGGGGCAGGACATCCCACGGCAGGCTGAAAAGGTCCTGGCAAGGCAAGAACTAAGAGGTCAGGTAGCCTTTGAGAAGCTTCAGCAGAAGGGACTCAAATTAGATGCTGAGAAGACTTCCTTAATTGTAAAGTTTCTGGACTGTTTGTCTGAAGAAAGTTGGTAATGGTCACCCTTAATTTAAAGAACAGATGTTAACATCTGTCCATGATATGAAAAATATGATTTCACACTAAGATTGAAATCTTCCTGTTTCCAGTGGGTGTTTGGTCAACGGTGTTCTTGCTTTCTAAGAATTCTAGTGTTTTTTAAGTTCACTGGAATATTATCAAACAGTCCCCATCATTGTCCCCAGACCAACAAGGGCAGGGGAGAAATATATCTAAGGACAAATGTGGATGCTGTCTCATGCCCTACACACCAGAGACCCCTCAAGTGTTAGAGCAGAAATGCGGTTCAGAGACCCATTCAACCCTCATGAAAATGTTTCCCAGAGAGGTGAAGGGATGTGTCGGTAATACAGTGCTAGAGATTAACAGATCCAAAATTCATACCCAGGTCTCTGAACCCGATATTTAGTTCTCTTTCTAAGTATAAAATGAGAAAACTTATCCAAAGCAACTATTCTAATATGAACATAGTAGATTGCCATTCATCTGGAATCCTAGCAGCAACAAACTAAAGTAACCCAATTTTTATTGTATACATTATGCACCTGGTTCTATGATAAAAAGTCAGAGAGCAAATAAACAGGACACATATCAGGAGCTCTTTCAAAAGGGAAAATTTCCATGTGAGAAACTAAAGTGTTTACAGATACTATTGACATAAGTTGAAACACAGAAAGGCTTGGCAAAAAAGAAGATATAAAAAAAAAACAAAACAGCCCGGCTGATGTGGCTCAGTGGTTGAGTATCGATTCATGCACCAAGAGGTCGCCAGTTCGATTCCCGTTCAGGGCACATGCCCAGGCTGCGGGCCTGATCCCCATTTGGGGGCATGCAGGAGGCAGCCTGTCGATGTTCTCTCTCATCGATGTTTCTCTCTCTCCCTCTCCCTTTCTCTCTCTAAAATCAATAAAGAAAAAAAATTTTTTAAAAAAGAAGAACTAAATAGAAATTTTAGAACTCAAAAATCCAAATGAAAACTTATTGGATAGGTAAAGACAGAGGAAAGTCAGTAAACTTGAAGATAGAACAATAGAAATTAGCCACACTGAGCAACATAGGATTGATTGAAGTCCTTCCAGAAAAGATTTAAAAAAAAACAAAACAGACCTTGGGGACCTGTGAGACAATACTAAAATATTTTACATTTATGCCATTAGAATCCTAGGAGGAGAGGGGGAAAAAATAGCAGTGCAGAAAAAATACTTGAGAAAATAATGGACAAAAGCTTCCCTAATTTGCCACAAGACATAAATTCGAGAACTCAGTAAAGCTGAAATAAGATAAACCCAAAGAAATTCACTTTAAGACTTGTCATAATCAAATTGCTTAAAACTAAAAATATAATGGGGGGAAAAATTAAAAGCAGCCATAGAGAAATGGCACATTATAGGGGCACAATTCTTTGAGTGACAACAGATTTCTCACCAGAAACCGCAGAGGCCGGGCGATGGCACAACATTCTTTAAGCACTCAGTGAAAAGAACTGTCAAACCAGAATTCTATATCCAGTAAAAATATACTTAAGGAATCAAGGTCAAGTAAAGAAAATTTCAGATTAAAGAAAATTAAGAGGATTTATTGCCAGAAAATATGTTCTAGTTCTTAAGACAAAAGGATAGTGATATCAGAAGGAAACCGGGAACATCAGGGATTAATGAACAAGAGCACAAACAGTAAAGTCTTAGAATAAATAATAAAATATTTGCAATTTAAAAAAAATATGTTTTATGGTTGAAAGCAAATATAATTGTCTATTGTCTATAAGGTTTTTTTTTAACGTATGAGGACTAAATACATAAAATGACGACAATATAGAGGAAAGTGTCAAGTGGCCTAAATGGTAAGATGACTACATTCCAATTAAAGTGGTAATTATCCTACTAAGACTCTGAAAGTATGTATATTGTAATTCCTGGAAAAACCACTAAAAAAGCTGCACAAAGAGATATAGTCAAAACACAATAGATAAATCAAAATGGAATACTAAAAAATGTTTAAATAATCCAAAAGAAGGCAACAAAGAGAAAAATAGGAAGAAAAAATAGAATAAATAGAACTTATATTAAAATAGTAGAACTAAATTCAAACATGTCAATAATTAGACTAAATGTAAATAGTCTAAATACACCAATTGTCAGAATAAATGTTAAAATCTGACTCAATTATATGCTACCCACAAAAAAACTCACTTCAAATGATATAGGTAGGTTAAAGTAAAATTATGGAAAAAGCTGTGCTATGAAAATACCAATTTGAAAAAAAGCTTGAGCCCTGGCCGGTTTGGCTCAGCAGTTGGAGCGTTGGCCTGTGAACCAGAGAGTCCCAGGTTCGGTTCCCATTAGGGGCATGTACCAAAAAAAAAGTTTGAATCTCAACATTTATGATCAATTGATTTTTAAAAGAGGGCTTTATAAAGGGAAAAATAATTCAAAGGGGCCACATATCCATTTATCTTTCAACAAATGGTCTTGAGACAACTGCATATCCACAGGCAAAAGAATGAATTAGACCTCACCTCATATCATACACAAAAATGAACTCAAAATGGATCATAGACTTAAATATAAGAGCCTAAATTATCAAATATTTTAAAATTTAGAAAAAGAAGAAAATCTTTATAACCTTGGATTATGTATTTCTCCATCTGGCAATACTGACTTTATGGACCAGATTATTCTTTGTTGTGGGATTGTCCTCTGCATTGTAGAATACTTAGCAGCATCCCTGGCCTCTACCCAGGACACTCCAGTAGCAACCCCGCTCCTAGTTCTGACAACGATATATATCCCCAGACATTACCAAATGTTCCTTGGGGGCAAAACGGCACCAACCACTGGGTTATTCAAAGATTAGATATAACATCAAAACACAAGCAATAAAAGCAAGAATTGATAAATTAGATTCCACTATTAAAACTTTTGCTCTTCAAACTACTTCATTAAGTAAAAAAAAATAAGCCACATACTGAGAGAAAATATTTGCAAATCATATATTTGATAAAGGACCTGTATCTATAATATATAAAGAATTCTTGTAACTTTATAACAAAAAGAAAACAACCCAGTCGAAATATGGGCAAAAGATTTGCAAAGACAATTCAACAAAGAATATATATGAATGGCTAATTAGCACATAAAAAGATGTTCAAATTAAATCCACCACCAGACACCACCATAATAGCTATAATAAATAATATTGATGAGAATGTGGAGAAATTGTTGTTGGGAATGTTAAATGGTACAACAGTTTGGCAGTTTTTTAAAATTAATTTATTTATTTTTATTTTTTTTTATCTTTACTCGAGGACATTTTTCCATTTTTTGTTCAGATACAGTGGAAGGGGGAGAGAGGAAGAGAGAGAGAGAGAGAGAGAGAGAGAGAGAGAGAGAGAGAGAGAAAGAGAGAGAGAGAGAGAGAAACATTGATGTGAAAGGGAAACATCAAGTGGCTGCCACCTGCACAACCCAACCAGGGCCGGGGAAAAACTGCAATCAAGGTACATGCCCTTAGCGGGAACCGAACCAGGTCTCTCCGGACCGCAGGCCGACGCTCTGCGCAACAGTTTGGCAGTTTTTAAAGATATACTTATCATAAGGTGCAGAAATTCAGCTCCTTATTGCCCAAGAGAAAAGAAAACGTGTGTGCACACAAAGACATGTATGTGAATGTTCATACTAGCATTATTCATTATAGCATAAAAGTGGAAACAGTCCAAATGTCCCTGGTGAATAAATAAACAAAACGTAGTATATCCACATAATGAAACACTATTCAGCAATGAAAAGAAATAAACTACTGACATGCTACAGCATGGACAAACCTCAAGAATAATATGCTAAATGAGAACGGCCAGACGTAAAAGACTATATATTTTATGGTTCCGTTGTGTAGAATTTTGGAAAGGTAAATCTATTAGAGAAATCAGGTTAATGGTTGCCTGAGGTTAGGAGTGCAAATTGAGAAATATAGCCTAGAAAATTCTGAGATAGAGAAATAAGGAGTCTCTAGTCCTATTAGATATTAAAACATATTATAGGATGGTAGTAATTAAGACAGTGTGCCAATGTAAGTAGTATTAAAATAGTAAATAGTTAAACAATTCAATGAAACAGAACAGAAAGCTCAGGAAAAGAACCAAACCAAAGATAAGAGATTGTATCCTTACCTCATACTTTATATAAAAATGAATTAAAATGGATCAAAGTCTTCAATTTTTTTTTTTAAACCGTAAGTATTGGGAGAAAACATGGGAAAGTACTGTTTATATCTTGGAGTAAATAACCTCTTCCAAAATTTGATACAAAGTCCAGGAAAAAGAAAAATTTAAAAATGTCTTAGATTTGACTGCACAAATATTTGAAAAATTCTATATGGCAAAAACAAAACAAATAGCCATAGCAATCTTGAAAAAGAAGAACAAAGTAGGAGGGATCACAATTCTGGACATCAGGTTATACTACAAAGCCACTGTAATTAAAGCAGCCTGGTACTGGCACAAGAACAGGCATATAGATCAGTGGAAAAGAACAGAGAACCCAGAAATAAACCCAAGACAGTATGTTCAATTAATATTTGACAAAGGAGGCAAGAGCATACAATGGAGCAAAGAGTCTATTCAATAAACGGTGCTGAGAAAATTGGATAGGTACATGCAAAAAAAAAAAAAAAGTGAAACTAGACCACCAACTTACACCATACAAAACAGTAAACTCAAAATGTATAAAATATTTAAACATAAGTCATGAAACCCTAAAAATCCTAGAAGAAAATGGGCAGCAAAATCTCAGACATCACACGTAGCAGGATTTTCACCAATATATCGGCAAAGGCAAGAGAAACAAGGGAAAAAAATAATAAATGGGATTACATCAAACTAAAAAGCGTTTACACAGCAAAAGAAACCAGTATCAAATGAAAAAGGAACCCACTATATGGGAGAACATATTTGCCAATGATACATCGGATAAAGGGTTAATTTCCAAAATATATAAAGTACTCAAACAACTAAAAAGAAGGAAGATAAATAATCCAATTAAAAAGGGCAGAGGACCTGAATAGACATTTCTCTAAAGAGAATATACAAATGGCCAGGAGACATATGAAAAAATGTTCAACGTCACTAAATCATCAGAGAGATGCAAATTAAAATGACTATGAGGTATCACCTCACATCTGCCAGAATGGCCGCCATCAACAAATCACCAAACAAGTAAGTGCTGGCGAGGGTGTGGAGAAAAGGGAACTCTAGTATGCTGCTGATGGGAATGCTAGATGGTGCAGCCACTGTGGAAAATGGTATGGATTGTCCTCAAAAAATTAAAAATGGAACTGCCATTTGACCCAGTCATCCCTATTAGTGGTTCTAGGAATATATCTTAAGAAGTCTAAAACACCAATCAGAAAGAATATACGCACCTCTATGTTCAAAGTAGCGCTATTTACAATAGCTAAGATCTGGAAACAGCCCAAGTGTCCATCAGTAGATGAGTAGACACAAAAACTGTGGTACATATACATAATGGAATACTATGCGGCTGTAAGAAAAAAAGATCTATCCTTTGAGAGGACATGGAGGGACCTGGAGAGTATTATGCTAAGCAAAGTAAGGCAGTTGGAGAAAGACAAATATCACATGATGTCACTTATACGTAGAATCTAATGAACCAAATAAACTGACAAAAAAAATAATAAATCCAGAAACATGGAAGTAAGGAACAGACTGACAAACCTCAGAAGGAAGGAGAGGGGGGCAGGAAGAATTAAACCAAAGAGCTTATATACATATAGGCATAATCAATGGACAACAGTGTGGTGCAGGTAGGGGCATGGGAGCTGGGGGACAAAAGGAGGGACATCTGTAATACTGTCAAAAATAAAGATAAATTAAAAAACAAACGTACAGATCTAAATTAATGATTAAAACACTAAACATTTGCCAGAAGTTAAAAAAAAACTCAAAAGACAAATAATTAAAAAATGTATTTAATAGCACAAGTGTTAATTTCCTTCTATATAAAACTCCTACAGATCAATAAGAAAAAGACCAACAACTCAATAGAAAAGTGAGCAGAGCATATAAAGGAACAATTCATCCATGAAAAAGGAAATTCAAATGACTCTTAAACATATGAAAAGATATTCACTCTCATTCCTAATAAGTCAAGTGCAAGGTAAGGCAACAGTTTGTCATGCACTGTTGATTAAAGTACAGAAAATAGGCATTTTAATATTGTTTTAGTAGATGTGCAAATTGGTGCAAGCTCTATGGAAGGCAATTTGGAAATGTATATCATACACACACACACACAAACAGACATTAATGGTGATCTTGACATTCCTTTTCTAAGTGTTTAGCATATACAGATACATTTGAATTCTGTGCACACAGCACTGCATATAGTAGCAAAATATTGGCAACTAAAATGTCCAAACATGGGAAAGTGGTTAAATGCAGCACCTTCATACAATGAAGTAACATGCAGCCATTGAAAAGAATGTGGCAGCCCTATATGTTGCAGAAAAGAATATATATATGTATGTATGTGTGTGTAACACTACCATGAGACTTAAAATAAGATGTATACATACAAGTACTTTCTTGTGTATGCATATATATTTCTAAAAGGATAAGCAAGAAATTGATCACAATGGTTTTCTCCAGGGAGAGTAACAGGATGGGAGATAAGAATGAGAAAAAATAAAACCTTAGTTTTCACTGTACATTCTTTGAGCCTTTGTTTTGTTTTTTTGGTATGTGCCTCTAGTGGGAACTCTCTGGTCCACAGGCTGACGCTCCAACCGCTGAGCCAAACCGGCCAGGGCACGCCTTTGATTTTTAACTATGCACACGTTACCCAGTGTTACTGGGTTCAATCACCTGTCAGCATGAGAATATTTGTATACATTAATTAAATCCTTTTCCAAAAGAACCTTAAATTGCCTTTGGGAAGTTTCTCTGATGTGTACTTCATCCAACTGTTCTTAAAAATTTACCGATATTCTGCCCAGCTGGTGTGGCTCAGTGGCTTGAGTGTCATCCCATGGACTGAGAGATAGATTCTGGTTTCATTCCCAGTCAGGGCACATGCCCGGGCCGGGTCGCGGGTTTGATCCCCAGTAGGGGAGGTGCAGGAGGCAGCCAATTGAGGTTTCTCTCTCACATCGGTGTTTCTTTCTCTCTCTCCCTTCCTCTCTCTCTCTAAAAGGAAAATCAATAAAACAACATATTTAAAAAATATATACTGATATTCAACAAAAATCGACTCATTAGTTGAAGTTTAGATGTGCTGCTGCTCACGCTTTCCATTCTTTTCCTTTAATGAAATAGACGATCCTCTTTGTGTTTACAGTAGGCAGAGATGGATGTGTACTGTGTGCGTGTGTGCGTGTGTGTGTGCGCACACAGGGGGAGGGCTGCAAGTCTGTTGTGCCCATTTCAGGTGTGTACATTACAGACATTTTAATTCAAAATAATGTAAAACCAGTATTACGCTTTTATATATGATGGGTTGGTTTTAAAAGGTGGCTACGGAACAAAAGCCTGCTGCACACGGTGTACACATGAAAGCTATGCTTCTTTTTAGAGTTTTTTTCATCACAGTAAAGCTTTTGTGAATATAACCAAAATCGTTGGCCATATTGCTATGTGCCAAAATAGCTGTCTGTTTTACAGACTGGTAAAAGCATAGAGACAGAGATTCTTTACAGTTTGCCAAGAACTCTTAGGGATATTCTGTTCTGTTAACTAGCCCAAACTCACTTGTGCACACAAGTCAGCTGGTGATTTTGCTCAGTCGCTGAAATGAGAGTCTGATTCAGTAGGCCAGAAGTGGGGCCTGAGATTCTAAGCTTCTCACCAGCTCCCAGCTGATACCAGAGTTGTTGGTTCACACACCACATTTTGAATAGCAAGTCTACAGATCATGTAGTTTCTTGTTTAGGTTTAGTATAGCCTAATCTGGATGCTATGAAATCCTGTGTCTTCCCAGTCATCAAAAAAAAATCAAGTAACCCAGCTGCCACTTATTAAACAGACAGAGCTTCTTCCTCCACATTTTCTGGTTTCTATGAAGAAGAATTATTTTTATGAATAATCCCAGCCTCTTGTGCCACCCCTTACTACTTAACTGGTAACCACCATTGTTCCACTTTTATAAATAGACACACACTAACACAAAGCTCTGAAGGGGTGTGCGTGCGTGTGTGTGTGTGTGTGTGTGTGGTGGGGATGGTCTCTATTTCTTAATTCCTCTACAGTAGCATGAAGCAGCAACTTGCATAACTGTTCATGCTTTCCAGACTCAAAATCTCCCCTCAGAGAGCAGTTCCAAGGCTTACATTGGGAGGAGCAAAGAGTTAGAAGGCACACTTATCTTTATCAGTAATAACAGATAAGTTGATTTCCCATTTGCCTTATTCTTTATTCTTACTTCTTCTCAGTGGACTCAGAACTTAGGGCGAAGGGAAGAGGGATGTTATTTATCAACTCCCTTCAAATCCCCAATACCTCCTAGGCAAACATCTAAAAAAATAATGAAAGTTTTGAAAAGCTCACCAAACTAGATTCTTTTTATACCCCTTAACACATCCCTAAAATGCTCCCCAGCAGCCCCTTCTCGTTCTTTGGGCAATGCTGTCCTATCCAAAATTCAGCATGAAGCCCAGACCTTAAGCTGATTCTTTCACCAAGTGTCTTGGAGATTCCGCATCTATACAATCCCACCAATATATGCAAAAAAGAAAAAGAATCATATTTGACTTATCATATACCCCTTCTTTCCCCCCTTTGATATGACTCTTATTGGGAACAAATATAATTTTACTTTATCCATTATTTTTTCCAAGGGTATAATCTTCAAATTCTTACTATCTCCATTCTAACCTTCTTGTGGCTCTCTCTCCATTCAGAAAGAAAACAGAACTTAAAACCCCAACAAACCATTCATAAATTTTTCCAACTTTCTCTGACTCTTCTTCCTTACCTTCTCTTGGATTCCTTCATCATCACCAGCAAAGTACAAAATAGGGACATTGAGCTCAGAGGCGGCTACCCATTGAAGTACGGCTTGGAGTTGCTTGTTCTGAACTGTATCAATTAGGTTATGATTGCTGACAATCACTTTGGGTGCTGCACATCCTTCAGGGAACTGTCCTGATACGCCTCTCAATTCATTATGGATAGCTTGATAGGCATTTTGCAAGACAGCCTCTGCTGTCCCTGTGCCCTTGACTGGTAAGCACTCATATAAATTATCTGGGAAGGCCGAAGCTGGCCTGCTGGCATCCCCAGACTTATCGTCTCCCAGCTCTGCCAAGGGAGAGTCACAGGACTTGGCAATAATGAGACACAACTTCATCACTGAGTCTATCAGATGTTCTAACAGCTGCCCATTCATGTGGCCATCTAGCTGGTTGACAAATATCTTGGTCAGCCCAGCAAAGGTACCACAAGGCTCGTCACCTTCACTTGGTTTGATAGGAGTAGGGGTTACAGGTCTTTCACACGGGTCTTCCCTAACTGGTTGTTCTGGTACCTTGGGTTCAGAGCTACAGTCATTCTTGAAAATGGTCTCACTAAGTAAATTCCGGATAAAGTTGAAGAAAATGCTCATTAGATCCTTCTTTTCTGTTTCTTCTTGGCAACCTTCCTTATGAGAAGACTTAAAGTTGGTCTCACCAGAAACTACAGTGGGCTTCTTGGGGAAGTTGGTTCTACCAGCAGCTTCCAGGAAGCTCTGTGTATCCATGCTTCCTCCCTGGGCCAGGTGGTATTGAATCAAAAGTAAGGCAGATACAAGCAGGTCCTTGGCCCAGGAGTCTGATTCACACGTAAAATTCTCAGGGTTCTCTGGGTGAAACATAGTGGGGTTGAGATTGCAAGCATCCAGAGGATATCCCAGGGGAAAGTCTGGTACAGGACTACACTGGTTGTTGGGAGCTGCAAATGATGCACACTGAAAACCTGGAAATTGTTCTTCTTTATTCTGAGTTTTATGCCACAAGGTCAGTCCCTCTTTGATAATGTGTTCACCCAAAGTTTCAGCACAAGACTTCTCTGGTTTGCATGGAGTACAGTACATTTTTTCCATAAATCTACCTTCAGATTTCATTGTTGCAAAATTTACATTTCGGTTTTTAGGATCACCCATTCCTTTCATGGAGACAAGGGAATAACTCTCAGACTTGTCCTTGGCTTTCCTGATATTCTCAGGTTTCCTGACAAACATCACAGTGTACAGCTTACCCAGCATAGCATCCATGATATCTGTGGCCTTCTGGCTTCCATGAAAGAAGAGACTTCTTTTCACAGCCGAGACAAAGTCTGTATCAGTCATGAGGGTCCCTGTGACATTGTGGAGGTTCTTCATGAAGGAGTCAATGAGATCTGAGACCACCTCTTTCGCATGCCTGAGCAGTACCTTCTTCAGAAGGATGGTGGCAATGGTTGTGTCCTTTACTTGGATTTTCAGGGTCTTCATGATGGAGACCATCATATCAGACACCACGCTGTTGGCATAGGTCATGATCTTTTGACTAACAGAAGTTGTAAAGTCATCAGGCCTTTCATGCTCTCTGAATATATTTCTCTGCCCAGACCTTCCATCCTCTTTGGCATCACCTGCATTACGAGACTCAAACACTTCTTTATAGAAGAAAGACTTCTTAGAATCAGGCTTGCCATCTGGACCTTTGCTTTCCTTGATCTTTAAAGTGGTCTTGTATTTCAAACTCGAGGGACTCTGTAATGATCCTAAGACTCTGTCACCAGAGCCAGGACCCTTAACGGAACCAGCATTCTTGGAACATTCAGAGACAGTGTCATTCACCAGATCTGATGCCACCTTACTCAGGCTTTTGTTGAGTGGGGGTTCATCCCCCATGTACACTGACTGATGGACACATTTGTTTTCAGAGCCATCGATTGTTTCATTGATCTCCTTGCGGGCCATGGCTATGACTAAATTTGTGAGGCGGTTAGCATAGAAGGAAACTTCATCTATTGTACTCCCGTTACCAACTTGGGCAGTGGGGCCCGGGAGAGGGTTCTCTTTGTGAGTCATCTCAAAATGAATTTTCCCTGGAACGCCGCTGTTGGAGTTATTGTAGTAGTCCACAGAGAAACCTTTACTTGGGTCTCCTGGGTTGGTCACTTCCCCACCAACTGGTGATTCTCCGGGTTTGAACCTAGCGTCTTGAAACCCGGCCGTACTTTTCTCCAGGTCCTTGCGGAGCCAGCTGAGCACTCTGACAGGATCCGTCGAGACTTCCTTAAAAACAGACAAGTATTCATCCGACTGTAACAAAGTAAAACACGTAGGGGATAGTCAGGACAATTCAAAGATCAGTTTCAAAAATGGTCACCTCACTCAAGCCTGAACTATGCCATCATCCCAATAAAAGTAACCAACATTTATTGAGGACTTACTATGTCTCAGGCATCGTTCCAACTCTTTTGACTATTATCTCATTCAATGTTATTTTCACTGTAAACTTAAATGTTAGCTCTCTTATCATCCACAGTTTACAGAGGAGGAAATGGAAGAACTGAGAGATTTAGCTACTCATCTGAAGTTATACAGCCACTGACTGATGGCGCAGGAGTTCTAGCCTCGGCAATCTGCCTCCAGGGTCACGCTCTCAGCCACCACACTATATTGCATCTAACAACATGTATCCTTAAGATTCCACAGTCATTACGTGCACAGCCGAATTAGCATTTAAACTAAGTTTGTTCGTATGGAAAATAATACAATAATTAATAAATAATAACACATAACTAAACTCTGTGTTTTGTGTACTCACAACTGTAAACCTACATTTGCCCTCCCTGTGTATACACTATCCAACCTAATTTTCCTCACCTCTAGCTCAATTAAACACACTTGGTAAAATTTTCCCTGACTACCTCCCACTTTGAAATGATCTGCTCTTTAAACACCTATAGCAATTATTACCCAGAAAATCCATTTGGCGAATTAGCATAGATTTCTTATAATTAGTGTCCACCAGTTATTTAAAACTTCTAAATTATATTTATATTTTCACATTTATTTTTTATTTTCCCAAATTAATGGTAAGGTCTGTGAAAGCAGAAATCGTTTTTCTCTTTTTTGCATTCCACAGAATGCTTCTCACTTAGTGAAAAACAAAGAAATTTCTGTTAATCTGATTTAATATTGAAACTCATCCATCTTTCGTTTTTCTAAATAAAAGGGCAGAGGTAAATAAAAGATCTAGTAGAAGCAGAGTTGGTTGTCACTTACGCCATAGTAAATGGATATTTATTATCTATATGTCTTAATGTCTTTCACGGATATGTGAATGTTTTCTCTCTAAGGCTATATAAAGATAGACCAAATAGAGTTTGGACAAACAGAAGATGGTTCATGTAACATTACATGCAAATACATGTAATGCTACTCATTGAGAGTTCAAGTGTTTGATACTAAGGATGAGGTTTACAATAGTGATTCTACCAGATTATGAAATCCTTAAAGAGAGAGAATTCTATTTTTATATATCTTACCCTAAGATTCAGTACCAGTTTATCCACTATTGTCTCTCAACTTCAAGCCCATCCTTCTTTGCCATGCTTTGTGACACTTTTCTCTTTTGGCAGCTAGCTTTGTTAATAGAAGGCACTGGAGGTGTACTCTATGGTCACAGCAGGAGGAAAGGGCTTCTCTTCTGGCCCACCTGAACCCTCTGGCAAGTGTCTTTGGCACCAGCAGGCTGTGTGATCCTGTGGCAACCACACTTTCTCCAAAGAGGTCTTAAGCAGCCTTGGTTGAGAAAGACGGAGTTTTTGTGAACTGTCTCTCAGCTATGGGTAGCTGCTTTCTGCATTTGCTAATTCTAGAACTCTTGGAGGCCTCTTTTACAGCTTTTTGGTTAACTACCTTTAATAAACAGTCTTTGGGTTTTTTTACATTAGATTACTGGTGTGATTTCTCTCTTCTGACTGGAGCCTGACTTACAGTGCCTGATATTAAGTATTTAATAAATTCTTGTTGAACAGCGAAGGCAGAATGACAGTGTTACTTAGACGAGAGTTCATAGACAATTTTGAGGCAGCCTACATTTCAGAAAATACTTTCTATAAACAAAATTTTACAGCTGTACTACATAGTTTTTTCATTAATTATAGCATGTTTCTCCTACTAAATACCATATTATAGGAATGTTTTTCAGAAGTTATAGATAGAAATTTTATTTTTTGTTCTAAAGAAGTTTATCTTTCCCCCACCCCCAAAGAAATCGATCTTCTAAAATAAGAGGTGGGTGGCGGTGGAGAGAATAAGGCTCTCCACATATTCCCAAACCAATATTTGTTTTTTTCCAAACCAGATTTTGTAAGGAGGTTGACAACTTACCATTTTCCAGTCCTGGGGTTGGCCATCTCCAGGTGAATAGACATCAACTTTGCATACCCCATTTTGGCTTTGTAACCAGTCAACCCTATCTGACATCTGGAAGTAGAAAAAATTTAAAGAATGGTCCTCAGAAGGGCAAGTTATATGAAAGCAGGAGAAATAAGGTAAACAGCTGAGGTGGAAAGTAGGAGCAATGCTTCCAGTAGTGACCTGTCCCACAACTACTTCAAACTCTCCTAACTCTAAGTATCTTCATCCTCAGCTCTCAACTGCAGGCAGAGTTCTTAAACACATGTATCCCTGTGCTAAAGCCAGTGCCTGGTCCATACTCGAGATGCTTACCACAAATTTTGAAAGAACCTAAGCAGCCATGTCCTGCTCTCTGTGTCCTTGCTTGACAGCCCTTCGACATCTTGGATTTTCAGTAGATACTCAACATTCAACACGATCAAAATATAATTAGTTTACTTCTTCCTGCCTGTTCTTGCCCCACACCATTTTAAAAAGTAATACAGAGTTCATTTTTAATTAATTTCTAGACCACTAACTTACTTTTATTAGCAGTAAGTCTAGTAGCTCTTCCTTAAATCCACCTCCAATGAGCCAAGGATCCTGACAGAATTCTATCTCCCTGGTTCAGCCACACTTCTGAATTCCAGAAGAGAGACGGTATATGCACCACCCCACGGACCTTTGTCCATGTTGGCAGTAAAAACACCCTTGGTGATGTTGATTCTTTCCTAACCCTCCCAACACTTTTCTCCACTCCTCAATCTCTGCAACGACACCACCAGCAACCTGCTCTTCTAAGCCGGACAGCTGATGATCATCTTAGTGGTCTTTTCCCAGCCCAAGGTCCCTGGAGCTGCTACTATTTCTCTCTCATTTGTAGCCATTTTTTTATGGAAAGAATTGCTTATTTTTGCTGCTTTTATTGACTCACCTCACAATCAAGCTTCACAGCCCTTATTCCAAATATTCCTTTGGCCTTATTCTCATCCACTTTTCATAGCATCTAATATGACAGTCCTTGGGAACATGGCTAATTATTATGGTATTTTCCCACTGATAATCTACAAGTATGAGAAGCTTCTCTTTTGCCCTTTCCGATGTCAAACTTCCATCACTGGGCTTCCACAATGAAATTTCCCTTCTTTCATTATAAACATTGCTTAGATCTATATATCTCAATAAGCAAGGTAGAATAAGATGGCTAATTTTTCCTCCCAATGTCCCCAAACATCTTTGCAAAACATACATAAAGAGAGATATTTTGGTTCTAACAAATATACTGGGTTAAAATTCTGTTATAATAATACAGTCCAAAACTTATCTTATTTTTCATAGTGAAATTGTGTTTGTTCTTTGCTCCCACAGGATTTGTATCCATTTTAACACCCCTACCACTGACAGATTACTGAGCTGGGGAGATAGTTTCTTTCACTTTTCCTGACACTGTAATAAGATTCCTTGGGTAAACAATGGGTTCCCCACCCTGATTAGAATCACCCAGAAAACTGTTTAAAAAATACTGAATTTGAGATACCCCCCCCCCCTCAGGGAATCTTATTTCAATGGTTTTAGGGTGGGGAAACTTAGGCACTGAATTTCTCAAAAGCTTGTGGGTGATTCTAACATATATCTAGAATTGTGAATCCCCGGACTTGGGCTTATTTGGAGAGATCCTCTCTGAGACAAACAGGCTGGCTCCAGAAAGATAATTATTTATTCTTTTCTTGAAACATTTTTTTCTGAGATTTTCTAACCTTCTTTGGTATCTTCATGTTATTTTTTAACCCTAATAAGAGGGAAGCTGTTAATGTCTATGAAGTTAAACCCTCTACTGTCTCTTTGCAACTCACCATTAAATCTAAATATTTTTATGATTGAATCATTACAATGAAGAAAGAGATGGACGGTACTACTACTTGGCCAAAGCATGAGAAGACTTGGAAATGGGCTTCCCTGCACTGCTGACATGCAAGTCTCTTAACTGCCAGTTTATATGTCATCTTAATGAATTACTTCCAATAGAAAATGACAAAATCAATAGGACTACTGACTTATTTAAGATATGTATCACAATAAAAGAGAATGAACATTAAATAAAAAAGTAAGGAAATTACGTGATCACTTACTCTGACTGAGGGCAGGTTCTGAGTTCTGAAGAAAACTCTTGATTAATTTGTTGTTGTCTTCACTATCCCTAAGTTTACCCACCCCTCCTGCCATTTAATATAAGGAATCTGCAATGGAAAAACACAAAAATGACTGATTTTACACATCTACGTATTGCTTTTATTACCAAATAATGATTTTGGCTTATTATTTTTCACATGTAGTATACAAGGGATGAGCACAAGATGACATTCAAAGCCAAAGTCCAGACCTTATTCTTGGTGCAGTCTGATGGCTTCCCGAAGACAAAAAGGGTTTCATCTCCTGGCCAATCATTTCTGAAAAGACTATTTTCCACTTTCATATCATTGATATATAGGCTTATTTAACAATGAGGAAACTAAAAGTTTTAGGCTAGTTTCAAACTTGCTTGAAAAGGAAGCCAGAAGATAAGTAGCTAGAATGGAGAATAAGTGCCTTGAATTCATAGATCTTAAAACACTTTGTAAGTATTCTTGAGGACTAGAGAGAAATACACATCCTCATGCTATCAAAGGGAATTAATAGTTCATGTAAAAGCCAGCTTTCAGACCAATGTCTTTCATGTCACCTCTACACTAAGACGTGTAAATAGAAAACACTTAGGGCATTGTACTCTCATCTTGGAATATCCACCCAGCCCCCAAAAAGTCCCTCTAAGGCCCACGTGCTTCACAGCCAAAGTCAAATCTTACCCATCCATGACATATTTTCTAAATACCTAATTAATGTGATTGTTCCCTTATCAAAGTTTCCATTATATTGTTTCAACCTTTATATTCTCTTTAGCATTTTAATTGCTCACATATATTCTATCTCCTTTATTAGATGGCTTCATGAAGGCAGATGTAATTTCTTACCCATCTTGGTATTCCTCATAGTAGATAGTATCTTAAAGTCAGAGCTTAATAATTGTCTGCTGAGAGAATGTACATATACAAATACTGCCTATTTCTCATTCCAGAGAGCTCAATTTTTCCTTAAAATTGGAGAATTTGAGAAAGAAAAAATGGTTTGCTCAAGTTTGCTATGGTGGTAAGCCATACATTCAGTCTTCCTTAAAGCTTGACTCCTTATGGGGATAATTCACCCTGGAGAGTGATCTAAGATGTCAATACTTACCCATTGATTTATTAACACACCTTCCTAATCCAATAACACCAATAAATCAACATCTCAGAAGTCCTCTTGCACTTCTTTCACAAACAGAAAGTACACTTACTAGGCATATATATCCAGCAAACATTTCAAATTACATATGTTCTAATGTTTTATTATACTTTTCTGTGTTCTACATGTTTATTTGCATCCATGAAGCTTGTTTTAAACTTTAAGCTCCCTAATTTTCCTGGATAGTAGCATATAAAAAGAGGTACCTAAATACTTTTTGATGATAATGATATTCTGACTTCTAAATCTGTATACGTTTCCCATAAGGAAATGAAAAAGAGGGAAGAAAAAAATCTGAAGAGTTTAATGAATCCAATGAATGAGTTAATACATTTCTTAACTTCAAAGTTGGTGAATAATGTCTTTGAGTTAGGGTGGAAAATAAAAAAAGATGCTTTGCTGTGGTACATATACACAATGGAATGCTATGCAGCTGTAAGAAAGAAAGATTTCTTGTTCTTTGAGACAATATGGAGGGACCTGGAAAGTATTAACCTAAGCAAAACAAGCCAATCGGAGGAAGACAAATATCACATGATCTCACTTATCAGTGGGATATAATGAACAAAACAAACTGATGAATAAAATAGACTCATAGACATAGTAGTAGGGTACAGACTGACAAACTTAAGAAGGGGATGGTGGAAGGGGAGGGAAGAAATAAACCACAGAACTTATATGCATGTATGCATAACTATGGACTTAGACAACAATGCTGGGGATGGGTGAGGGGTTGGGATTGGGAGAAGGGGGTCAATGGGGGAAAAAGGAGAAATATTTGTAACAAAAATAAATTAATAAAAAAAGGTGTTTTGTGTTATCTATTAAATTTGATGAGAAAATAAGCTAATTATATATAGTGTAAAGATAAACTGACCTTAGAAACCATTTATTCTAACTCCCTCATTTAGGAAAGAGAGACCTAGAAAGGGAATATTAAGACCAGTAGATATATTCCTTTAAATAGTGCGGTTCTGCAGGTTAACATCCTGGAAGCTGTGATTATTACTTCAGTAACTGAGAAGGAGTGCAAATCTTTGAATGCCAGCCAGGGAGGGCATAAACAACATATAGTTAGCTTATTTTCCTCATCAACACAGGGGTTTAGTTACAGTTGCTGTGCCACCAACCTTCGGCTCCCTCTCAAGACATTTTCTCCTGTGTTCATCGTAAGCAAGAGGCTCCTGTTTACTCAAGGTTCCTAAATTCACAGAAAAGCTCAAATTACAGGTGGCATAAATAAAGCTTTTTCAGGGTGGATACATATATGATCAGGTTTGAGGTTTATATAATCAAGTTTTATTACTAGATTTAAAAAGAAAGAATGCATTCTATTATATCCAGTCTCTTTTCTCTCTTTTCCTAAGTGTTGGGCACACCATTATAAACTTGGTTGTTGATTAAATCAGTTTCAATTGATTTTATTTAAGTAAGGATTGGCAGTATGTGTATCTTTCTCTCAATGGTACTATTCACTGTTAAGCTTGACTGTGTATCTTCTCTATTTTCACTTTCCCTTAGAAATAGCTTCTTTCTCTAGTGCTCTATTAGTAGAGGCACTTTCTCAACATGGTAATCCATCTATATAGCCTGCCTTTTCCCAGTTCTCTATTGTTTATCCAAGGCTTCAGAAATAATAGCACGAGGGTGAAAGTGGATAATTGGGACTCAGAGCTATACAACTCTGGTTTTGCTAGGAGAACGCTGGAAAGAAAATAACCTTTGGACAGCCACACAAAGAGGAGGAAAAGTCAGCTGGGAATCAGGCT